AAGACCTACATAGACAGAAAGTAAAGGGACTGGGGAAAAAAATATTCCAGTCAAAATGACGAGAGGGGAAAAGCTGGGTTAGTAACATTTCGATCAGAAAAAATAGATGTCAAAACAAAGGTCATAATAAAAGACAGAGGTCACTTCATGATACTTAAAGGAAGAATCCATCAGGAAGACATAAACAGCCCTGGCTGGTGAAGCTCAGTGGACTGAGCATGGGCCTGCGAGCCAAAGCATGACCGGTTCGATTCCCAGTCAGGCCACATGTCTGGGTTGCTGGCTAGGTCCCCAGTAGCAGGGTGTGAGAGGCAACCACACATTGATGTTTCATTCCCTCTCTTTCTCCTTCCCTTTCCCTCTAAAATAAATAAATAAAATCTTTAAGAAAAAAAAAGAAGACACAAACATTGTAAACATATATGCACCCAACATTGGTGCACCCAAGTATACGAAGTAAATCTTGGAGGACTTCAATAAAGATATCAATAGCAACACACTTATAGTAGGGAATTTTACACCCCACTGTCAACAATGGATATATCTTCCAAACAAAATATCAACAAAGACATTGTGGCACTGAACAACATTATAGAGCAAATGGACTTAACTGATATATCCATAACTTTTCACTCCAAGGAAGCAAAGTACACATTCTTTTTAAATGCACATGGAATATCTTCAAAGATAGACCATATGATAAGACACAAAACAAGCCTCAACAAATTCAAGAAAATTGAAATTATATCAAGCATTTTCTTGGATCGCAATGGCTTGAAACTAGAAACCAACCTCAAGGGAAAAACTAAAAAACAATCAAATCCATGGAGACTGAATAACATGTTATTAAATAATGAATGGGTAAACAATGAGATCAAGGAAGAAATAAAATAGTTTCTGGAAACAAATGAAAATTAACACACAATAGTCCAAAAGCTATTTGATTCAGCAAAGGCAGTTTTGAGAGGGAAGTTCATAGGGACACAGGCGTACCTGAAAAAGACAGAAACATTTCAAATGAACAATCTAACCCTACACCTAAAAGAAGCAGAGGAACAACAACAAACAAAGCCCAGAGCAAGTAGACAGAAGGAAATAATCAAGATCAGAGCAGAATTAAATGACATAGAGACTAAAAGAACAATTCAAAGGATCAATAAACCCAGAAGGTGGTTTTCTGAAAAGATAAACAAAAATCAACAAACCTTTAACCAGACTCATCAAGAAAAAAAGAGGGCCCAAATAAATAAAATCAGAAATGAGCCCTGGCTGGCATAGCTCAGTGGACTGAGCTCGGGCTGCGAACCAAAGTATCGCAGGTTCGATTCCCAGTCAGGGTACATGCCTGGGTTGCAGGCCACGACTCCCAGCAACTGCACATTGATGTCTGTCTGTCTGTCTGTCTGTCTGTCTCTCTCTCTCTCTCCCCCCCCAGCCCTTCCCTCTCTCTAAAAAGAAATGAAAGAGGAGAAATTACAACCAACACCACAGAAATAAAAAGGATCATAAGGAATTACTACAAACAACTACATGCCAAGAAATTTGAAAACCTGGGCAAAATGGACAAATTTCTAGAAACAAATATCCTCTAAAACTGAGTCAAGAAGGAGCAGAAAGCCTGAATAGACTGTAACACATTGTGAAATTGAAGCAATAATCAATAATAAACTCCTGGCACACAAAAGCCTGAACTGGACGGCTTCACAGGAGAATTTTACCAAACATTTAGGGAAGAGCTAACCCTGATCCTTCCAAACTATTCCAAAAAATCCAAGAAGAGGGAAGACTCCCAAACTCTTTTTATGAGGCCATAATTATTCTATTTCCAAAACCATATAAAGACACAACAAAGAAAGAAAACTACAGGCCAATGTTGCTGATGAACTTAGATGCTAAAATGAGGCAACAGAATATTGGCAAACCAGATCCAGCACTACATTACAATAATCATACATGATGATCAAGTAGGATTCACCCTAGGAATGCAAGGATGGTACAATATACACAAATGAATGAATGTAATACATCAAGGGAAAACTATATAACACTGAAGAAAAGAAGTTAAGGAAACACACAAATAAATGGAAGCATATACCATGTTCATAGATTAGAAGAATTAACATCATCAAATGTCCATACTACCCAAAGCAATCTATAGATTCAACACAATCCCTATAAAAGTACTAATGATATATTTCACAGATATAGAACAAATATTTCAAAAATTTATATGGCTCCACCCCATAAACGCCCCCCAAATAGCCTGAGAAATTTTGAGAAGTAGGAGGGATCACAATACCTGTTATCAATCTATACTAAAAAGTCACTCTAACCCAAATAGTCTGGTATTGGTATAAGAACAGATCCATAGACAAATGGAACAGAACAGAGAGACCAGAAAAAAAAAACCCATGTCTCTATGGTCAATTAATATTTGACAAAGGGGGCAGGAGCATAAAATGGAGTAAAAATAGCCTGTTCAATAAATGGTGTTCAGGAGATCTAGACAAGTACATGCAACAACAACAAAAAAATTACACTAGACCACCAACTTACACCATGCACAAAAATAAGCTGAAGATGGCTAAAAGACTTAAATTTAAGTCACAACACCATAAAAGTCCTAGAGGAGAAGATAGGCAGGAAAATCTCAGATATTCCATGCACCAATATTTCACCCATTCCTCTCCCAGGGCAAAGGATATAAAGGAAAGAATAAAGAAATGGGATTATATCAAATTAAAAAGTTCTGCACAGCTAAAGAAAACATGAACAAAATGGAAAGGAAACCAAACATATGGGAAAACATAATTGCTAATGATACCTCAGACAAGAGTTTGAACGCCAAAATACACAAAGAACTCACATGACTCCACACCAGGAAGACAAAGAATCCAATTAAAAAGTGGGCAAAGGACCTAACAGACACTTCTCCAAAGAGGACATACAGAGGGCCCAGACTCACATGAAAAAATGCTCAACATCACTAGCCATCAGAGAGATACAAATTAAAATTACAATGAGATATAACTTCTCCCTGGTCAGAATGGCCATTATTAACAAATGAACAAACGAGTGCTGGTGAGGTTGTGGAGAAAAGGGAACCCTAGTGTACTGTTGGTGGGAATGTAGACTGGTTCAGCCACTGTGGAAAACAGTATGAAATTTCATCAAAAAAGTAAGAATGGAACTGCATTTTGATCCAGCGATTCCACCTAAGAACCCCGAAACACCAACTGAAAAGAACCTATGCACCCCTCTGTTCATAGCAGTGTTATTTACAACAGGCAAGTGCTGGAAAAAGCCTAAGCACCCATCAGTAAATGATTGGATCAAAAAACTGTGGTACTTTTACAAAATGGACTACTACGCAGCAAAAAGAAAGAACCCTTATCCTTCATGACAGCATGGATGGAACTGGAGAGTATAATGCTAAGTGATATAAGCCACACAGTGCCCTGACTGGTCTGGCTCAGTGGATTGAGTGCTGGACTGTGGACCAAAGGGTCACTGGTTCAATTCCCAGTTAGAGAACATGCCTGGGTTGTGGGTCAGGTCCCCAGCAGAGGGCATACTAGAGGCAATCACACATTGATGTTTCCCTCCCTTACCCTCTAAGAATATTTGGAAAAAAAAGAAAATAAGTCAGGCGGTGAAGGATAAATACCATATGACTCACCTATAAGTGGAATCTAATCAACAAAACAGAAAATCAAAATTGAATTAGAGACATGAAAATAAAGAACAAACTGACAGTGAAAAGTGACCAGAGGGGAGAGGGGAAAGAGGAGGAGAATAACAAGAGAAAACAGGGAGAGGGGTAAGTCGAGGGCATGTATAGAGGACCCATGTACAGAGAGCACGAACAACAGGATGTGGGAGCAAGGGGGTGGGCAGGGCAGAAGAGAGCAATGGGAAAAAATGAGACAACTAATTTTATTTATTTTTTAAACAATGTTATTTATTTATTTTTAGAGAGGGGGACGGGAAGGAGAAAGAGGGAAATATCAATGTGTGGTTGCCTCTCGAGCGCCCCCCAATGGGGACCTGGCCCACAAGCCAGGCATGTGCCCTGACTGGGAATTGAACTGGCCACCCTTTGGTTCGTAGCCCACGCTCATTCCACTGAGGTATACTAGCTAGGACAGACAACTGTAATTTAAAAAAAGAATTTTTCAACACACACACACACACACAGCCTATAATATTTTGTTACAGTAGTCCTAATGGACATCTACTTACTATTTTTAAGACATTACTGTCACTACCACTGTTACCTTGGTATTTGATTTTTAACCAGGTTATATATAAACATGCAGATATAATCTATACCTATGATGTGGATAACTGGTATAACAATTATTAATTAATAATTAGATAGTATATAAAATAATGAAATACTATAAATAACTTACCTTTTGTTAGATTGGGGCTTAAATCTCATAATATATGTGAGTTAAAAAGCCCAGGTTAAAATTACAAATGTGAGATATGAAGATGTCTTTATCTATCTTAGAATTTTAAACTCCCAGTAGAAATTTTATTTTTTTAATCAATATAGTACTTTTAGCCCTGGCTGGTGTGGCTCAGTGGATTGAGCGCCAGCCTGTGAATGAAAGGGTTGCCAGTTCCATTCCTAGTCAGGACACATGCCTGGGTTGCAGGCCAGGTCCCCAGTAGGGTATGTGCAGGAGGCAATTATACACTGATGTTTCTCTCCCTCTCTATCTCCCTCCCTTCCCCTCTCTCTAAAGCTAAAATGAAAAAAAAATCTTTAAAAAATATGTAGTACTTTTATTTGAACAGAATTAGGGTACTTAATAGTAAATAAAGATTATTAATAATAAAATTTGTATTGCAAATATTTCAACTTTTTTAAATAAAATAATGCAACAGGGAAAAACAAGAAAATGTGTAAGGAAATAAATGGCTCAGAAGTTTAAACTACCTCACATAGCTCACTTATAAATCTGTTTTATTTCTGACTGGATTGTACTTACGCTTGTCTTTCAGTGAATATGATATCCATACTTTGTGTTTCTCGATCATTTTGAGCTTTAAGCTAAATAAAGAGTTAACACAGATGTGAGGGATAAAACATTGCCATGAAACCAAACTATTTCTTTAAAAATTATTCTGGTTATGAACTATGAGAGATTATTATAATAATCCTAATACTACATGCAAAGTTTTTAAAAAGTGTTTGTTTCAATTAACAAATCACCATACCAGATAAAGTCATTTTCACAGGCATGGTAATCTCACATCAACAATATTCATTCTGTCAAGTAATCCAAGATAAACTTAATTTATGTAACAACAATTTCAAAAATTTATTTGTTGTTCAATAGTTGATTAACAATGTGTTAAATTTAGACCCAACATAAACTTTATTCTGAAGTAATTCAGGATTTCACATGAGCACTCCTAGTTGACTCTACCTGTGCATATTCAGGCTAGGATATGGACCAAACCCAAGTAAGTGACAAAACGTATGAAGAAGTTTTTACTTTTTCCATATGGTATTAAAAGTTTTCAAACTGGGAATTCTCCTGTGTTCTAAAAGCCAAGAATAATTTCACTAAATTAACATGCTTTTAGAATCCCAACTAAGGAAAGAGTCATTTTATATATTCTATGCCTTCATAGAATGTATTTGATTATATAAATGAGTTATAAACTTTGTAAATTGTAAGTTGTATGTTATTCTTATCCAAATCTTTATAATAAAAGTAAACTAGCCACTAACATTTCATTTACCAATCAAAAGTAGTCATCATATGGTAATTACTTGCTTTTCTTTCTTTGTTAGAAAACTCTGTACACGTGCCGTAGTGTGTCTATTGAGTATTCAGCTCCATTTGTGCATATATTAAACTAGATAGCAAACTAATTTATATATAAGGAAATATAGATGAGACTCCATAACTAATGCCAAGTGTAGGACCACTGCAAATATAGCCTTTAGAAAGATAATAAAGTATCCACTTGAGAGAGCCAATGAATAGGAAAAAGTTTTAAAAGCACAATTAAGGGACTTCAATTATAATAGTGGTATTTAGGATCAGAGTAGTACCTAAGGTCCATAAAGTTTTATCAAACTATTTCTAGTTATAAATGCTTTGTTTTGGAGGATATTATCTATGTGCTCTATTGCTTATACATTTTCTTACCATGTTGTAATCATTCATTACTTCTTCCATATCAGTATTGGTATTAAGTTTATCTACCAACTAAAAACAAAAATACAAAGAAAAATCACACATTCTATTAGTCTGTAAATTTTCTATAATCCATTATATTGAAATCCATATCTTAATGAAATCATTTAAGTATTAATATTTACAAGTATTTTATCTTCTAATATAAAAAGAAATATTGAGCTACCTAAGTAAGCATATACTGTGCATAAACTACAGCTTGGGGAATATAGAAAAGTAAGCAGTAATGAAGTACTACTGTTACTGCAGATTATACCTCGAAAAGGTTTGCCTGTTCTGAGGAGATGTCTGAGCTTATAAAGAAGGGTCCAGAGAAGACAAAAGTTTGGGGAAGATCATTCTCTCCCTTTCTCTCCCTCCCCACTCCCCCACCCACAGGGAAGACGGATGTTAACAGATTTACAAATTTACACCAGTAAAAATGTAAAATGATTTCTGTGGTCATCTGAAAGGTAAATAAAATCAACAGATTAAAGCACAAACAGAACACTGGTAAGCCTGGTAAGCCTACTTCAAAACGTTGGGTATGATGCCCTGGCTGGATGCTCAGTTAGCTAGAGCATAGTCCTAGCACATGAAAGTTGTGAATTTAATCCCTGGTCACAGCACATAAAACAATCAACCAATGAATGCATAAATAAATGGAACAATAAATCAATGTTTCTCTCTTTCTCCCTGAAATCAATGAATAAATTAATTTTTTAAAAAAAGTTGGCCAACGATAGCAATAGCTAACATATTTTGTGCCAAACACTGTTCCAAGCCTGTTATATGTATTATTTCACTTAATTTTCACAATTACTCTATGAAATAGATATTATTTTCCACATTTTGCAGATAAAGAAATTAGCAAAGCCGTTGCTATTGTGGCTCAGTGGATTGAGTGCTGGCCTGAAAACCAAAGGGTCGTGGGTTCGATTCCCAGTCAAAGCACATGCCTGGGTTATGGGCCGGGTCCCCAGTAGGTAGGGGGTGCACGAGAAACAATCACACATTGATGTTTCTCTCCCTCTATTTCTCCCTCCCTTCCCCTATGTCTAAAAATGGAAAGAAAGAAAGAAAGAAAGAAAGAAAGAAAGAAAGAAAAGAAAAGAAAAGAAAAGAAAAGAAAAAAGAAAAGAAAAGAAAAGAAAAGAAAAGAGTGAAAGGAAGAGGGAGGAAGGGAGGGAAGGAAGGAAGGAAGGAAGGAAGGAAGGAAGGAAGGAGAAATTTAGCAAATTGTAGAAACAGATTTTGAACAAGAGGGCTACTAAAAGCTAACTACTTTGTATAACTGATTTGAAAAGACTAATAATCTTTATTAATGTAACATATACATTAATATATATCACATTTTCACTTGTGATATAAATAATAAAACTTAATATTATTGCATACTTACTAGACATTAGAAACCTGGCTAAGTGCTTTCTCTGTATCAGATGTTAACTCATTAAATCTATATACAGCATATTTTACATGTTAATATCTTTATACTAAATAATTTGCCTAATGTATTTAATACAAATAAAAATATCTTTCATCTAATAAAAAACTATTTTTCTCATATTTAGAACAGAACATCATTTACTTAAAAAAAAACTGCACTGAATATTAAGCCACATAAAATGTTTTTTATGGATTATGTGGCCCAACAAATATGAGAATTATAATATTCAGCAAAATTTTGTTTGCAAGTACAATATATAATATCGAGTAAGTATATCATAATTTACCTAACCATTGAAAAAAAATTTTATTTTATATAAAACTGTTTCTTAATAGCAGAAGTGAGATAAACATTTTTCTCTTTCATGAAGCCCAGACACCACTGCTGCCAAAATCATCTACAAAGTTGGAAGAAAGAAAATTCTGACACTAGAAATTTTCATGGGGCCAAGATCACTCCACTGACTGGGGGAGTTATCAACACTGCCAAAAAGATTATTTCTTTTCAAATTTCCCATGAAGAAGCATTCTTGGTGGAAGTATGTATATGTTACACACTCTTTTTTTGACAGAGGCAAACACTGTATTTTAAATGAAACATAAGAATGGAGGTACCGCATTCTGAATAATTAAATTTTTAATATTTCATGATGACAATACTCCACAGAAAGATAAAATGTTCTTAGCTAACATTTTAGTACCCAATATATTTGAGCTACTTTTAAAATGATCACTTTAACACAGATTGTGAGAGTGAAATAACGCATATATGAATTGGTAGTTGTAAATAACCATACTTTTTTTTAAAAAGACTGGATGAATACTTATCAATCTGTTAAGCCAAATTATTTCTGGGCAGGGAAATAAGCAAGCAAGCAATGGGACAGTTTAATCTCATAAATCTCTATAAATTTCAATCTTTCACAATATGCATGTAAATCATATTATATGGTATTTAAAATAAAACATTTTGTAAAGTAGTAAAAAGGAATGAAAATATTTAAAGAAAATTCTCTATGAAAAATCAAATACCATGTTGTAGTCTGCTAGTTGTCCTTGAAAGTCTTTGATTTCGACAGCTAAAGTCTCAGCTCTGCAAGCATAAAATAAATACACTCATAAATTGATAAATAAGAAAATCAACATTAGGAACATTATTGATAACTACAAATTCAGCATTAAACTCCTGAAACATATAACATTAAATGTTACTAATAAAAAAGATATTACATATTTTACCTGCAAAATTACTCACCGCTTTTCATACGACAAATATACTGAATTTTCTTGGTTGTACATTTCTATTTCTTTCTGAAGTTTATTAATTTCTGTCGTAAGTTCATTTATTTTACTTCTAAATGAAAACAAATAAGTCAGCTATACTTCCAATCAAGAAAAGATATTCTAGTCAGACAAAACAATAATATGAATGGTTTTGTGAAATCTGACTTAAAAATAATTTAAGTGGCTTATTTGATTAAGAATGAAGTATATCCCAACTGATAAGAAGCTGACATAGGTTCTCGAATTACTAAGAAAAATGACAGAAGACCAGAATGGAAACCTGGTCAAACTGGTACAATCTAGAGATTGAAGTATGTGCCTAATTGTCATGCTCACAGCTCCTGCTACACTCTAGGACATAATGTCTCAAGAGTGATATTACTGACATTTTAAGTCACTCAGTAATACTAACATGGGGTTTAGCGGGGAACTATCCTGTGCACTATAGAATGTTTAACAGCATGCCTAGACTGGAGGCTAATAGCATTGCCTTCTGAATTCCACTCATGACAACTAAAAATGTCTAAAAATTACCAAATGTTCTCTGAGGAGCAAAATCACCACCACTTGAGCAGTGCTGTAGAGCTGAACAATTACACAAATAGCTAGAACTACTCTTTGATGCAGAATCAGAAATCCTGAAGAAGAGAGGCAATGTAATGATGATGAATGGCTCCATTTTGTTTCCTTCTTTTGAATAAAAAGTAGCTGGATACCAAGAGATGCCATACAACAATTGTCTTACTATCTTTCTTATTGATGATAAGGATAGATGCGGAAAACCTACACTTCTCTTTATTTACTTCTACAGGTTTGAGAGTCAAAAAAAAAAATCAGGTAACTGAGACAAAAGAATCAAGAAGGGCTAAAAGAAAAATGAACTTTTAAGTTACAATAGAAGAAAGGGTTAAATGAAGTGGAATAAGAGAGAAAGAAGATATAGATGAGGAGCTAAGAAGAAAATGTAAAATGGGAAAATGAAGATAAAACAGTAGGATATCAGCAGAGAAAAAGGTAGGGAGAAAAAAAGAAGAAAGTTCTTCATTTATAACTGCACAGAGATATATAACATAGCTTATGAACTAATTAAAATTAGGCCATATTTGTAAGCAACTGAACAAATATAAACTTAAGTAAAATTCTGCATTAATTAATGTTCATAAATAAATATATACATATTCCCTTTCTTATTAGCTGTCTAACTGGTGATATTTCAATAGTATAAATAATATATTTCAGAACAATCAGTGAAAAAAGCATAAAAGGTTATATTTATCATTAAACTTTTAGAAAGTTAACTTGAAATATATAGCTAACATATGCAAAATTATAATATTTAAAATCTCAGCCTAATTTCATTTTATGTCAATATTGTAGTACAGCCAAATTAACCACAAATTATGTCAGAATATAAAATAAATCTTAGAAATCAACACATATCTAATTATCTCAATAAGTACCATAATCAAAATTTCATAATCATGCATAGAAAAAAAAATGTTTATTTAACATACCGAAGAAGCCCAAGATAATAAGATTTGTCTAAAATTTGCCTCTGGGGACCTAAAAAAATTTTTTTAAGCATTAGTGTTCAGTTTAGAAATGCCACCAAAATAGCAAATCAAAAGCAAAGAATTACACTGTACAATTTTGACAGTTCTCATGAATGCCCCAATAGATCTGATAATCAAGAAGAATTACTGAAATGGAAAAGAGAACTAATATTTTAGCATCATAATATAATAGAAGCTTGAATTAAAACCTCAAAGATGGGACTAGAGGTGTGGCTATTAAGACAGACTCTTCAGGTCAGGCTGACTAAATGGAAACCGGGTAAGGGAGTCTAGAATAGGGCCATCCAAGAGAACTTTCTGCAACAGTGAAAATATTCTATACCAGCACTGTCCAATAAATGAACTACATGGGATTACAGAGCACTTGAAATGTGCTTGGTGCTATTGGGAAACTAAAGTTTTATTTTACTTAATTTTACTTAGTTTAAACTTAAATAGCTATTGGCTATCATAATGGAAAATGCAGATTTAGACTATGAATTTCTCAGTGCAAGCAAGAGATTATGATTTTTCATAATCTGTCTCAGAGACTTTTTTATAAACATGATGTTGTATTTCATTAAGACTAAGAAAGTACTCCTAGGTTAAATGTCCCAAATCTTGAAAGAGGTAAGTGCCCTGCAAGGCATGAGAGGTAAGGCTAGGGAGGTCTAAGTGGAGAAAAAGGAGAGAATGTTTTATTAAAATGGGAAATGGGGTACTAGAATAGATAAGAACAAAAGACACAACAGATAGTGGTACATAGTGATAACAATCAAAACTCTTTTATGTAAGGCTTTGAAGTACATTGGTAGAAACTGACCAAAGTATATTTTGTTTTAAAAGAGAAATTAATACAGTATAAATATTTAGTAAATTCTTTATAGAATTTCAGTATGTTTCTACCCTTGATATTTAATAATATTAAATGAACATTTCCATGAATAGCATTTTAAAGAATAAACAACTATATAATTTTGACTCATTTTTTTCACAGTATTGATAATTACTAACCAAGCTTTTCTAAATCTATTGGTTTTTAATATTTAGTGAGCTAAGTGCATTATAATACAAGTAAGAAAATTTAAGTATCCTGAAAGGCATGACATGCTATATTAAAAAGGTAGCATAATATCTTATAATTAATTTTGTACCAGTAAAATATCTTCATTCCTGATAGTAATCTGTCACAAATACAGAAAATAAAGCACTCATAAAACAATTCACCATGCTTTGATTTATATATACATAGACCAATTTTTTGAAACATAACATATAGTATATTGTTAATCCTTTCTAAACACATACAGAGAAGCATTAGTGAGCAATGTGGTATAAATCTGTATTAGCCTTATTTCCTTACGTAAGTATTATAACACAGTATTATTAGGAAAAGTAACACTTTTTGACGTCTCATAAATATACAAAATCTTAATATTGTAATTTTGATATAGAAATAAATCAAAAAGTATTTCAGAATAGTTCCATATGGTACTAGAAATTTAATTTTCATTCTTTAGCTTTTCTTCAAATTATTTCAAATTTCTTGAAGTTGTAGCAAATCTCTATGTTCAGAAAAATGAAGATCAAAATATATGTATATACCTCTCTAGTTCACAATGTATTTCACATTTATTCTCTTATTTAACCCTCAAAACAATTTTGTGAATCAAGGAACAAGAATTGAGTAAAATAGCCTCTTTCACACTGTAATTCTGATTTAGTAACATGGTACTGTAATACTTCATATACAAAATATAGTCATCTTCTTAAAACAGATACCTTTAATTCCAGTTTTCATTCCACTCAAACCTTGTTGTGTTACAGGACGATCTGCAACTTTAATCTGAGAAGACAGAACTCCACCAGTCCCTATGGGGCCACCACGAGAGCCTGGTCTTGCTGTTCCAGGTGGCATCTAAATAAGAAACAAGATTTCAGTTTTAATAAACTAGAAAAACACTGTACCTCTACTATTGTTAAGAATACAAAGAGAATATTTTGAAAATTTAATTCAATATAATTTGTAAAATATCCCTTTATTTTATAATGTTTGAAATATGAAACATTATTAAATAAAATTCTTTAAAATTTCAAGTTCTATGTGTAGACATTATTTATAATACTCCAAAACTGGGAAGGAGTTAAATGTCCACATATTTTTCCTCATATAACCATAAAAAATGATTTAAAAAGTTGTATTATACAACAAAATAGTTTATAACAGTATAATTTCATTTTGTAAAAACAAAAAGTCTGAAGGATTATATAAAAAAATATTAACAATGGTTATCTCTACATGATATTATAGTTCATTCTTATTTTGCTACTTATATAATTTGGTGTTCTCAGCATTGTTTATGGTAAGTATAAATATAACTTTTAAAAATCAGGAAAAAATTCATTATGAAAAAGAATTACATGTAATTCTATCCGAAGATAGCCATGTAAATATTAAAGGGCTTACATTATTCAGCAAGCATTCATATTATTACTTCAGGTCTACAAAATCCAATATAATATTATACACCCTGAGGAAAGGACAAGACTCACCTTCTTGTCAGTTCATATACAATAGTATATATGGGCATGGGAAGGTATAAAAGATAACCTGAAAATATTCCAAATGATCTTTCTCTTATCTTCCTTTTCCTCTTTTCTTTTTTTCCCTGACTTCAAAGAGTCAAGTAGTACATTAAATTAAATATGTAGTATAAATTTTATACAGGGGTTGTATACAACCATTGTCATTCATTTTGATGGATTTTAATTGTTAGCTGGTAGCCTCTAATCCTATCAGCTAACATAGTTCTTAAGTGATTCTGAGAATTACTTGGCAATTATTTTGAGTATGGGGGAGCCAGCAACAGTGACACATTGCAGAGAAAATATGTTGGGCACAGAAACAATGTCAACTCCAAATTCAAGCGAAATGAGTTCAGGGTTATTCTGAATGATCCTTGTGAGAGAATGCTAAATCTCTCATTGGGTAAACCTTCTAAATAATTTCTTCAGCTCTATACAATCATAATCATGACAGCTACTCAAATAACTATGCTACTTCTTAAAAAAATTATTTAGATGGAAGTACAGAGAAGAAAGTATAAATTAAAAATGCACATATTAAAAATATATACGTATTCACATGAAAATATATTTATAATATATTACTGATATACTTATGATACATTATTGAAAGTAAAGGACAAGAATGTACATACTATTATCTTTATTTTGGAAAATGCTAAAGTCATACAGTTATATATTCATACATGTCAGTGTTTGAAAAGAATGGAAAAAAACTCTGAAAGGATACATGTCACCCTGTTGACAATGATTATACCTGGGGTAGAAGGAGGGAACTCTGACATTTCTTTGTATGTTTTATAATGAGCATTACTATTTTAAAAACAGCAAATATTAAATAGGTAAAAAGCACCTGGCAAATAGTAGGCGATCAATGTCCACTTCTTTTTATAAATACTTAATTAACAAGCATAAATTCTTACTAGAATAATAGAAAAAGATACCCTATTTCAGTACTATCTGTAAATTTAGAAAAATCATTTCAGTATAAGTTGATGATGATATTACCTGAAACTCTAGAAAAATCTCAAAAATTTAAGAAAACTGACTTTAACAAAATTATTTCATCCCCAAAATGCTGCTCTTGTTATGAATTAAGCACAGCACCCAACATTATCTCTATTGTCTGGGTCTGAATGCTCGATATGCACCTTATGTGGTAGTTAAAACCATTTGCTGCAAGCAACAGAGAAATTACTATGAATATTTTGGTTTATTCATTTCTTTCTATGTTGTCACCACAGTTTTTTTCTCACACTTTTTTTCACTTAATACTGTATTATATATATTATTTCCTCAAATATCCTTTAAAAGAATTTTTAATGGCTACCTAATAGTCTAGGATAAAGATAGACATATAATTTATGATTTATCTATTGTAAGGCTGTTTAGGTTATATTCAAATTTCACAGTTATAATTATAATGAAAATGTAATAATTACCTTTATAGGATACTATTCTGCTTAGAATTATCAGTTTGTAAAGTTTATGCATTTTGTTCTAATACGTACTTTTCTCTTACTGATTTACTGATTTATGACACTCTATCTTACATGCAAGCTGTTACTATTTATCAGAGTTTGTTTCTAGACTACTGTTGCAACCAGAACATCATTTTACTTATGATTTATAATATATTTCATACTACTGTACATTGTTGGGTACGACTTTGTGTGGTTTCAGAGACTGTAGCCCCGCACGAGTAAGGCCTTGCCTTTAAGTCTCCACCAGAAAGCAGGGAATGCTGGTGGCAGGCACAACCCACCAACACTGAGGGTTCCTGTGGGAAATCATGCCTAAAGAATACATTGTATCCTTTGAAGCTTGCTTTGCTTTGCTATAGCCCTGTTGGTGTAAACCAGACGTTTAAGTTCTAAGCATTAAGACGTGAACTCCTTATCTTAGGAAATACACCTTAACAACCATCTGGCACCAGCATGTCTAACAGACCCTGACCTGAAGCAGATCTCTGTATTTTTTCAATTGTCATTTATAGATAATATCAGTCTTTTATAACCATAGCCTTTGGACATTGATTGATGAGCTATGCATGTATGCTATACATCCCTGCACATACTGATCCCAATAAAAGCCATTTTGGAGAAGTGCTCAAAGCATCCTCCACTAGAGGGAATTGCCAACCCTTTCCCGCCAGAAGAAGAGATTGCGGCCGGGACAACTTATTCTCATCTGCGGAGGCCAGGAGAGCTCCAAGGGAGGGAGCATCCCATAGTACATTCTTATTTTTGCTTTTTTATTGTTTTGGATAAATTTTAGAATAGTTTTGTAATAATAACCACCCCTCTGCCTGTCATACACACACATACAAACACACTGCCCCCACAAGAAATCTCACGAAATTTAGGTCAGTTTATAGCCTTAACATAGAAAAAGCCCATATGGATTCTGAACTCTAGGTATGACATATATATTACAAATAAGTTTTTTACCAGTTTGTTATTTTTCTTTTAATGTTTTTATGATATTTCCAATTTTGTAAATTAAAATATAAAAATACCCTGTCTTTCAGTATTTGGTGTTTCCATTATTTTATAAAAGCCTAGGCCACACCAAGTTTATATGAAATACTTGCCTGTATTTTCTTCTAGAACATTTATAGTTTCCTTTTTTAAATATAAAGCTTCTTAATTATCTCAAATTCTATGTGAGGGAGGGATCAAGTTTTAAAAAAACAAATGGTTTTCAGTAATTTATGTGCATTACTGAATACTCCATACTTGTTCAAATAATTTGAAATGCTGCCTTAATCATTAATTAAATTCTTGCCTATTTCTAATTCTGTTTTTGGTCTATCCATTTCCTTTGATAGTGACAAAAATACACTCTACCACTTTAATAATTGTAGTTTTAAAATACACTTGAATATCAGCATGAGCATGCCCCTTCTCTCTATAGTGTCTTTCAGACATTCTCATACATTTACATTCCTTGATGTTTTCAGAAAAACAAAGATATATTATAATACACTCACAGAATAAATAACAAAGAATTTCTCATTATAAACAGGCTTTCCAACTTCTACCAAGATATATGCACAAGATTTTAATAGATTTATTTTAAACTTACTCCAGTTGCCACTCGAATATTTCCTGACGGGGGTCTTATTCCAGAAGGAGGCCTTCCTGTCAACCCAATTCCACCTCGTGAAACAGGGCGAGCTGCTGAAGGTTTGTGATTACTAGCCATTGCTTGTTCACTTTAATCACTGTTTGGAAACAAGAAACAGTTCAATTCTCATTTGATATCTTCTATAGCTATATACTAGTGCCCCACATAAACCTTCCTTCAAACATTTAATCCACAGTGATTTTTCTTGCAAATTGCCATTCTAGGTACCACTACAAGGCTAAGCCTGATTTAAGTTGGTTCAAATTTGACATTAATGTACCATTTAGAACCATGAAATCATTTATTAAAACATGCCTTCCGCATTTCTCTATAATCTCATCAAAATACCAGGCCTTCTAGATATGTCTCCTGTGCTCTCATCTCATACTCTAGTAAGTTTATCCAGCATGTTTGTCTTCCAGTCTTTCTCTATTATTTCTGGTCCATGACTAATTCCCTTATATTCTTGATCCTGTTATTAAATGCAGTAGTACCTTGGTACTTATCATGAATTCATCCTAGAATTCATGATAAGTGTGAAACCAGTGAGTACCAAATGCAAGGAGTGATGAAGCATTTTCTCTTGTGGAGCGGTGTCATCACTCATACAAGGTCTGGCAAGTGCGAGGGGTCCCAAGTAAGTGCCCAGTGCTGAAACATTTTTTTCTGGTCAAAATGCTATGGGTACAGGGTTTGACAAATTCTAAAGTAGGTGAGTACTGAAGTGTGACTATACTTACTTTTACTCTTCCCTTTAACAGAATACTGGTTTTCCCTAAAAAATGCTTTCAATAACAAAGGTTGTTTTAGCTTCCAGTGCCCCAATTCCAAAGCAAAGGAGTGCATGGTACTACCTTTGCCCCACAATGTCACTTTCAAAACATTATGCCTCCCAGTCTTTAAAAAAATAAACAGAATTCTCTTTAAGGACCAGGTAATACAACTGTGTTACCTTAGATCTTTCCTGGTTGCTTTTTATAGGGACCACTTAATGTCTCCCTCATCTTTACTAAGGTCTTTGTACCTCTAGTTTAGTCTCTATTCCAGTTCCACCAATATCCTGAATGACTTTCATATGGATACTGGATTCAATATCTAAATTCTAGTTCAGATCCCTAACCTAAATTTCAGTAACCATCTCAATCCCATTTCAGATAGCCATGGCCAGACCTTGAGTTTGTCATCATCTGGAATTGCTTCATCTCAAACATTTTAAATGAAGTACTTTATTCTCTGACCTTAATCTCCTCCCTTTCTTCTCATCTTTATTCTCAATAGTCTCTTTTTAAACCATTTCCTTAATTCACTCATTCTCTCTGTTTATTGGCCTCTTCCTTTGCCCATCAGAATATTATTTAAAGTTTTCATTGATAATTTAGGATAACATTTTTCAAATTATGAGTCATGACCTTCTAGTGGGGTTGTAAGAACAATTTAGTAGGTTATGACCCATATGCTTTAAACATAAAACAAAATAAAGGAATGCAATAAAAAAGAGTTCATTATATAGAAATGGTATTATTTCATTACATTTTTGTGTCAGTTATATTTATATAAATTTACACATTTGTACTGATCTTAAAAATAAAATATATATCCTGTTATAGATCATGTTCAAAAGATTTTTAAAGATTCTGATCTAGAGAGAGAAGAAGTAGAAAAAGAGTGCTCAAGACTATTTATTGCCAGAGGAATGTCTCTGCCTTCAGATAAAACAGTATGAGACTAAAAATGAGAGCCAAGAAAGCAAATAGAAAAACCAGGAGTATGTGTCAGAGATGCCAAGAAAACAGGAGGAATGGTCAGTTATGCCATTTACTGCTGGGAATTCAAATAATATGAACACTGAAATGTCCACTGACATCCCCATCTAAGAAGCCATTAATGACCTTTGAGAAGAGCAGTTTCAAGGACTTTTTTCCTTCTCTACACTGTACTGTCTAATGAGCACCATCAACTAATTCATATCCTGAACTTTACTCGACCTATCTGGCAAAATCAGATACTTTCTTCTATATCCAACCAGGTTTACTGAACATTGCTAGTAGAAATCATAACAACTGTATAGTCTGGAGTACTGCAAAATCATAGTCACAAATGTTAGCTGGACTCTCATCACAGAAAATTTTATTTATCCTTTATAAATGATTTATCTCCTTCATGATTCCAATCCTTAACCAGTTTTCAATCTACACTACTGTCAGCAGATGACTCAATTTCCTACTAATTTCGCAAAATTAGGTTTGAAATCCATAAAGTTTGGAGCACACAAACCTACCTATACCCAACCTGTGCTCTGATCTCAATAGCTACCCATTCTTTTGTTTAAGGTCAATCTCTGTTCTGATTTACCCTCTTAATCCCATTTTCATTGGGACAATTGAGTCCTCTTCCTTGTCCCCTTCCTTTCTACCCCAATTTCCTTTGGAACTATCCCACTCTTGCCCATATCTTTAAACTTTCTCCATTCTTTCAATCTGTTATGTTCAATTCTTTTCTAACTTTAAAAATTAATTTCTTGATCTTGAAAACACTTTTAACACTATCCCATATACCCTTTTCCTATGTAGCCAAACTCTAAAAAATAGCTTATATCCACTATTCTCTACCTTTTCAATTTCCAGTATTGCCTCATTTTCTACAATTCCATTCAAATGGCCCCTGCCAACACAGCTAGGGATGTAAATGTCATCTGTTACTAATGTTCCCTCCTACATGAAACCATTTTCATAATGCTCCCCTCTTCTGGTTCCCCTTTTTCAGTCTTTTTGTTTTTTCAGTTCTTCCTCTTGGTGGCACCTCCTAGTCACACAAATCAGAAACTTAAGTCTTTGATTTCTTCTTCTCCCTCATTTCCCATAGCTAATCACATAGTCCTGCTGATTTTATTCCTAAATGTTTAACATGTACCTCCCCTTCTATTCCTACAGTATTATCCAGGGCCTGATGGATTCAAGTGGATTAGTACATTGGCCTCCTTGCTGGTCTGCTTGTCTAGTACACATCTTGCCCGTTACTGTCCCTAGGAATCCTTCCACAAAAAAACAGTCCACAACCACCCCTTCTTTAAATTGAATTTATAGGCCTGTCCTACATGCTACTATGTATCCTAGATATATCTATATCTTAGTAACCATCACACTGATTGAAATGATCTGCTTCAGTATTTCTCTCCCTTAAGGACAGGCTTGGATCTCATTCATCTTTATATCCCCAGTATCCCAGTGGCAGGCAAAAAATTTGTTCTCTTTTGTTCTTTCTGAATTTCCTCCCACATGAAGGCCTTGTCAGTCACAAAAATTTACTAAATTATTAAAAGTGAAACAAATCATTTCTTCTACTAAAATAGTTTCTCGGCTTCTATACTCCCTGTCCAATGCTTGGATTACTTTTATTCTCTATATACTCTTTCATCCTTTGTCTTATACCTCCAACTATGTTGATGACTCATAAATCAATGTCTGCAGGTCTGTCCTTTAAACTGGGTATCGATTCTAAATTTTCAATTGTTGAAAATTTCTATTCAGATATGCCATTATCACTTCATAATGAATATGTTTACACCAAAATTTAAAACTTTCTCATTCCAACTAGCTCCGTTATTCTATTTCCTTGCCGTTATGAATTCTGTGGACAAAGTAAGAGATTATTACTATTATTATCTCAAATGGAAAAGGGAGTATCATGAAATAACTTTTTGAAAGGCTGATAAGGTCATGGTTTCTCCCAAAGAAAACTAACAAAATAAACCTCTGAATCCAGCAGAATTAGTCAATGTGACCCTAGCTTTCCTGATAACTTTAAAAATGTACAACATATCAAATTTCCACCTCATTTTCTTTGCTACTGCTTTACTATCATGGTAAAAACATAGTATTAGCTCAGCCCTAGGGGGCAATATAAAAGGATGTGGTACTAGTAACCAAAATACCTCTAACTCTGGGCTTATTCACACATACTCAGAGAAGCAGCCTGGCCTTTGGTTCAGGAAAGGTTAGGGATACAAACTTGAGCTCTGACAGTTATCAGCCTTACAACCCCTTCTGGAGGTGCTTCCTCACCTGTAAAACAGAGGTGTGTCGATAGCCTCTATCTTGCAGAGCTGCTGTGAAGATTACAGTGTATATAAAACACTTGGCTCCTAATTATTATTACTATCATCTTCCCTAAACAGTCATTTTAACATATATAAACAAGTTAAAAATTGCTAAGTCCCTTATGCTATGAACGACAGACAGAAAGCGATTATTACTTTGAGTAAAATCTCAGTCCCCAGTAAATTTTTTCTCTGAAGCTCTTGAATTCTTCCCTTTGGTCTCGCCTTGGCAGGTCTCCTCTGGGGACAGTTAGATGTCTCGGCGCACATTTTGGGGAGCTACAGTTTTGATTTCACGGGCCTAACAACGGCCTGAGGAGAGCAGCTAAAAACCGACAGCTTGATTTGTTTTTTTTGGAGCGCATCAGCATCTCCAAGGTGAGAGAATAACCTACAGAGGGAGGGAAGGAGAAATGGAACCCGGGATTTCTCACCTCTGTCAGCACCGAATGAGGGAGGTCACAAGACTCTGGGTCGCACCACAGCGGAGCTCACCAGTCATCTCCACCACCGACGTGTTCGCCGACTCGTGACTACCCACTCACACCAGCAGCTTTCTTGAGCCCTCAGGCTCAACTAGTATCAACTAGTAGAGGCCAAGTAGCTCAGTGTATCCCGGCAACGGGTGGGGACGGAAGAGGCCCCGCCTGATTGGCCAATCCCCGGCCTCAGCTCCTAGTACCAACTAGCAAGGCAAAGTAAGATGTTCTCGCGATATTTCAGTACTGCCGGGCTTTTCAGAAAGGTTTGGAAAACTGCTTGCTGTCTAGAAAAGACCATTTTAAAAAACCTTTGTTTTCTTTATAATCAAGACAACGCCTCTGATTATGCCTGACCTGTACTCACTCCAGCGAGTTAAATTATATCCCTATAAAATCTTCCATCTGCTGTGGTGTACTACGTTAACAGTTTTTGTTGTTTGAAGTCACTCCTGGTAGGCAGCATTGTACATTTTACTTCTAATTAGTAGTAGTTTACTTACTGTTATGACTGCACATGTACACATACAGCATTAAGTATGGATGCGATTCTAGTGCCGTCTGTTCCTCATTCATTGGAAGCCTCATATCTTTAAGCGTCCTTTCAGAGATTTGGTTCAAGTTTGTGAGAAAGGCTGAATTAAATGGAAAGTGGTTTTACAAGAATTGTTTTAAAATTAGTGTTTAAAAAACAATATAATAACTACTGCATCTCAAATCCCACTTCTCTAATAAAGTAACTTGCAGTTTTTTTTTCAGTTTTCCTACATATAGACAGAGCATAAATGTTATTGCAGTTACAATCATAACATACGTACACATTGGACTTTGAATATTTTCACATTATTTCCAACTTGCATACATTATGTATATCCAGATTTAATCTCTTATGTGCTGGCCTGCAAGTAGTTTAAAATCAACGCAAACAAAATAATGTTATGTGACTGAATTCTCACTTAAAGTTTGTAAATTATTTTCAAGAAATTATACTATTTGATCGCAACTTATTTGTAGTGTTCACTTTTCCTTTTGTCATTGCAGTGACGGGTAGTAGAATTTGCAACTGCAACACATGCCACTTTGTTATAAGGATTATTTTGAGCTGAAGGCACTTGAAAAGAAGCAGATAAAAGAAAAGCTCTTTAGGTTCCCTCTATTTGTTTAAAAGAGTACATAAATCTTTAAAGATTTCCCTCCTCATCTCTCTACAAGGAAGGGCAAAAGTGATCATCCAACACAATTTTAGACCCATCATTAGCCTGGAAGACTGCATAGGAGGAGGCTACATAACAAATTTTATTAATTGGTCTTTATCTACCATTAGTTTCTCATATATTTGCCTTCCCATAATTTGATACCTCTAAAGATTTAAGGCCTTTTTCTTTTTGTCACTTCCGTAAAAATGTATTGTTCCTTTGTTTAGATGCTTTATAACCCAAGCTCGAGTCACCTTTGTAAATTACTCATCCCCGAGTTTCTCTTGTATGTATGACATACGTATTAACAAACTTCTGTAATTTTTTCTTATTTTTTTTTTTGCCACAGAGCGCCAGCAGAAAAGCCAGAAGGGTAGAAAAAAATAAGATATTTCCTTTCTTACTATCTTTAACTTTCCAAGTAGTCCATGTATTTTCTCTGAGAGGTCACCAATATGCAGATTTCCCCCCTCAGAGCTTTTAAACATATGGGAGGGGGAACCAGGTTTTGTTATTTGCATACAGATGTGAGAGTTGAAAGAAACTGTTTTAAGTCTTTCAAATGCTTAATACAAAACATGTATTTTTTAAATTACCAAGAACCCAGTTTAGTGTCCACAGAATTTAAAGTAAGCAAATGTTTCCAGTATGGCTCCAAATTCCCTCGTTTTAATGAAAAAACAATAACTTGAAAAACTATCAGTAGACTATGCAGAGGTTTGAGGAACTCGGGGTAAAGCTGCCCTAACAGACCACGCTAAACAATCTGGGTAAACCACAAAGCAGCGCGCAGTCCTGCAGACCAAGATTTAAAATACCCAGATTCCGCGCCTGGGGGGTGGGGGGTGGGAATCTCGTCCCACTGGTGCGTGGCATTGTGGGATTTGCAGTCCCACTCCACATTCCGTATTATAGTAAACAGTTCAGCCAGGGATCGGAAAAAAAAACTCGGGCTTGGCGAAGACCAGGATTACAGCGTGTACAAAGAAAAGACAGCGCAGTAAGGAAGCGAGCCTCAGCTCCACAACCGCCTTAGCAGTCGGGACGCACACGCTCTGCGTCATGGCGGGCTGAGGTCGATGATGAATTCCGGTGTGCACGCCCCGGTTGCTGTGTCACTCGACCCGCTCGGCGCGCCCCTTCCCTGCAGCCCTTACGCACAGGCTGTCCGGTTCTTCCGGTGTCCGGCCGCCTCTCACTTGCAGGCTCTTCTTCCGTCGCTTTTCGTCGCACACCTGGCCTCCCCTGCGGACTGATCTCGACTGGTGCCCGGGCCCGGGTGCCGGACCTACAAGGGCCATGGCGAGCCGAGCCGCCAGATACCGGCTGAGCTGCTCGCTCCCGGGCCACGAGCTGGACGTGCGCGGCCTGGTGTGCTGCTTCTATCCGCCGGGGGCCTTTGTATCCGTGTCCCGGGACCGCACCACCCGCCTCTGGGTCCCGGACAGGTGAGCGCTGTGAGCTCAGCAGCCCCCTTGGAGGTGTTGCAAGCTCCCTTCCCCATGTGAGAAGATAGTAACCCTTTCTGGTTCAGTCCTGCTCTCTCCTTTTCTTCTCGGCCTTCACTCAGGTCTGCGTTGCCCCCCCATTCTAAAAGCCCATGGCTGGACGCGCAGTGTTTGGAACCTGTACGATTTGGGCGAAAGAGCACCGGATTGGGGGAACGAACAGACCTACGTTCATGTTTTAACGACCACTATAGAGTGGGTGACCTTGACCGAACTTCTTACATTTTGGGGCTTAAGTTTTTGGACTGTGATTTGCCATGTTTCTTTTAGATTGAAAATTTATTGATGCCAGGTGCACCTTCTATATGAGGCAATGTGAAGTCATCTGCCATGTGATTAAACTAAGAACTTCGCTCTTACCGCCTACAATTTGCTCTGTAGTTTTCCTTAAAGTTTGAGAACCTTAGTTCTCAAAAATTGCATTCCAGAAAGTTGCTTTACCTCCCCTACGTTGTCCAATTCAGAGTTTCTTAGTCTGGGGTCTGTGGTGGACTTTAGGTGGAGGAGATGAAACCTCTATGTTTTATGAATGTGTGGGGACGTGATGTTTTTCTTGAGGACGGAAAGTCCATTGCCTTCTAACAACAACAAAAATTAAGAAACAGAAGATTAAACTCCAGTCCAAATCAAATTCAGTAGTTCATCACTGGGTTTGGTTGATTGCAACAGGAAACAACCACCTGGAGGACAGATTTCAGTTCAGAAAGAGAAAAATTGAGATAAGTTACCTTGTTAGCCTTCCATCAGTAGAGGTTTCACTCAGAGTTTGGGTTACCACCCATAAATTCAGATAACTACTGTGCCTCCTATGTATTTGGGATCCTGAAGAAGAATAAGAAGACAGACAAGTTCTTTATGTTTATGGAACTAGCTGACAGTTTGGGAGGGAAGATGGATCAAAAAACAAAACATACACACTTGGCACGAATACTATGAATAAAACAAATATTGGTATAGAGTTGAATGGAGAGAGATGTTCGAGAAGGGAGCGTCTCTGAGGAGGTTTCTTTTTTCTTTTTTTAAGTCTTGACACTGAGATGGAGCTTGTCATGGGAGCAGGGAACGAGGAAGGTTGAATTGGGAGAGTCCTGTAGGCCATAAAAGGAATACACACATACGCCCCACCCTGGGTTGAGGAAGAAGAAAGCCCTTATATACAGAAGGGACAGCTGTGAGATGAGCCAATTCTCTGGGGCCTAAGGAAGGGAGTTAGTAGTTAGAAGACTTCAAAGTGTTTCCAGCAAGGAGCAGCATGATTTGATTTACCTGTTGAAAATTTTCTGCTAGTAGCTGGTGGAGAATAGATTGCCACGGGGTAAATGTGGAAGTAGATCTGTTGGCAGCTTTTGAGGAGTGCAGCCAAGTCATGACAGACTTGAGTAGGGGTATTGTATGTACAGGAAACTCCCATTTTGAATTGAATGAGATGACTTTTAAAGGTTTTTTCTAATATTCTGTGATATTCCAAACCACTTAGTAACAGTAATACATAACTTTTTGTATATTATATGCCCAGTAGGCAATAAACATTACAGTAAGTAGTAGCTAAAGGGGATGCCAGTTGTCATAGTTGAATCCTGTCATTACACTTCCACATGTTGTGTATGAGCATGCTAGGTTGACAAAAACTTTAATCACTGGAGTGGTTGCATTTACTAGAAACTTGATGAACTTTGGGCTGAAATGATCCTTCACTTGAAACTGGTCCTTTTCATTTAACTCTTGTTGTCTTTTGGTTTTCTTTTTCAAAATTCATTTATGTATTCACCTAACAGTGATTGAAAGCCTGCATTGTGTTAGGCACAGGGCTAGATGGTGGGTGACTGGAGAGATAAGATAGTTTTACCTCTCCTTTCCAGTTGCTTAGAGTAGAGCATCTCATAGTCACTGGGCGATGAACCTCTGATGCATTTCAAACTGGAGTGACTCAGCCATACTTTTATTATTATAAATATGTCCTCAAGACTGATATCCTTTGTATATTAATACAGTTAATGAAGTGGTTTAAAATGTTTGGAGCTAAGTAGTAAATGAAAATTGCTTTCTGGGGGTTCTGGGTCAGGGCAGTTGGTGCAGAGAAGGCCTGGAAATGATGGGGGAATTTAGTTTTAGGGAGGCAAAATAGTTCTAGGGTAGACTAAACTAGATACCTCATCTTTCATAAAAGCCCATTGAGAACCCAAAAAGTCTCTGGGCCTTTTGAAGTTCCTTCAGAAGGACAGGTTCTTCTCCTCCTCTTCTCCTCCTCCTCCTCCTTCTTCTTCTTTTTTGGTTGTACATTATTAAACTGAACCAGTGAACATGCCATTCTTTGAGACTGTCAGGCCTCTATAAGACCACTTCAAATTAAATCTGATTTCTCAAGTCTATTACCAGTTATTGCTTTGCCTTTTGAAAACAACACATATTAGAAAGATGCAACCCCAGATTTTATATCATGCATTAAATCTTCTCTGATCATGTCAAGGTCTCATAAACACTCAGCACTTTGGGCACTTAGTCAAGTAGTTCTATGGGGTTTGTTAAGAAATCAGAGCCAGTCCCTTCCCATTCCTCATTTCTCTCTTGAAAGCAAAATTTTCATCTCTTACCTGCTTATTTTTTATTTGACTTCCCTATCTCTATATAAAATGCTGCAAAGTCTTGTGCTGCTTAACTAGGTGGGTACATTCTGAGAAATGTATCAGGAGATGGTTTTGTTGTTGTGTGAGCCTCAGAGTTCACTTACACTAACCTAAGTGATATAGCCCACTACACACGTAGGCTATATGATATAGCCTATTGCTCCTAAGATACACATCTGTACAACATATTAACATACAAAACACCACCAGAGTAAATCAAGCACAAAGGAAAATGATACACTTCAAAGGCGCAGTCAACAGGAGATATAGGAAGCTCCTGTGGTGTAACACAGCACGCTGTTTTACAGCAGACTTATGTTTCTAAGCAGAAAGAGTACACTCTAAAATAACCATAAAAAGCATAATATAATAAATACATAAATCAGTTACATGGTCTTTTATTATGATTATCAAGTATATAATTATATGTGCTGTATTTTATTTTTTTAATTTTTTAAAGATTTTATTTATTTTTAGAGAGAGGGGAAGGGAGGGAGAACGAGAAATATCAATGTGTGGTTGCCTTGCATGTGACCCCCTCTGGGGACCTGGCTGGCAACCCAGGCACATGCCCTGATTGGGAATTGAACTGGCAATCCTTTAGTTTGCAGCCTGCGCTCAATCCTCTGAGCTACACCAGCCAGGGCTATATATGTGCTGTATTTTTATACAACTGGCAGCAAAGTAGATTTGTTCACACCCAGTATCACCACAAATATGTAATGCATTACACTGAGAGCTTACCATGGCTATGAGATCACTAGCTGACAGGAATTTTTCAGCTCTGTTGTAATCTTATGGGACCACCATCATATATGTGGTCTGTTGTTGACTAAAACACTATGCAGCTCTTGATTGTATTGCTATCTCTTTTTTAATGTACATTTTATTTTAGGTATTTTATTTACTTTTTATTGTAGAATATGAGAATTTAGCTCTCCACCCTCTACCAGCCTCCATCACATATGTATTCTATCTATGCCTTTAAATTAATTTAAACTGAATCAGTATTTCATGGTTCTCCTGAGTCTGTCCACACCTAAGCTGTGAAATAAACTATGATAACTTTTCCTTAACAATTTTATGATATCCCTGAGGCTACTAATTTCCTTCTTTTGGCTTTCATTTGCTTGATTTTCTTTTTTATATTTGCTTAAATTTTATATATTTATCACTAATTCAACTTTAAATTCATTGCTAGTTATCTGTCTCTCTGAAGACCTTTAGACAGACGTATTGGATATTTTACAGTTTCATCTTTCTTTTAGTGAAAACTTTCTAACCTGGTCTGTCTGCCTCTGGTACACAACTAATCTGGGAGATCTTTATTGTCATTTCCACAATTCCCTTTTGGACCTCTTGTGTTGGATTTCTGTTATCAGTTTCCTTTTACTTTCTCTTTCTTGTTTTTCTTTTTTTTGATGCCATATTGGAGCCCAGCCTCTAGGAGCTTCCTGAAGTACAGTGCGTTGATAGTAATGTATCAAGACCTTGCAAGTCGGAGAAGGATTTTATACTGCCTTGCTGCTTGAATAATTTAAATGTTTGTATGTTTGTAGCATTCCAATTTCCAAATAATATTCCTCCAGCATTTCGAAGCCATTGCCCCATTGTATTCTAGCCTCCAGTGTTACATTTGAGAATTCTTGACCTGTTTTTTTTTCTGTATAAAAAGCAGTCAATATTTATCCATTGTTCAGGACCATTAGTGGACCCTTTTAATATGAAAACTCACATCCATAAGTTCTGGGGCATTTTCTCATATTCTTTTATCTTGTCCTCTTCATTTTCTCTGTCCTCTTTTCTGAAACTTTTTATTCATATATTGAACTTGTTTCTAAATGTCTTTTTTATTTGTGTGTGTGTGTCTTTTTTTTTTTTTTGCTATATTGTCTCAGAAATTGCCTTGATTTCTTCTGTGAAATTATGTTCTTATTTCATGGCTGAAATACAGTTTTCTGTTTTTAAGTTATTTTCTCCCTAGTGGTATGTGTCCTCCAAATTGGTTTCTTTTCCCCCTCCCTTTGTTTTGGTCACTGTATTTCTTGAGGGGGAGGCTTTCCTTAGATGTCTGATAATCCTTACTCTGTGTTCAGTGTTGAGGGTGAAGAACTAAAAGGCTCCAAGGAAGGATGCTCTGCTCAGGGGTGGGACTTGTTGTCTGTGAGCTTCACTGTAGGATTGTCTGCGTTACCTGGCTAGACCTTTTCATTGGGCTGGTCTACCCAGAGGATGACTGCCCTGGTCCCCAGGGTTTTGTCTTTGGTGGTGTTGGCCTTCGTTATAAATGTACATGTTTTTCAATACCCAAGGGCTCACCTATGCTATGGTCCCCACAAAGACTTTAACTTTAGTGATGAAAAAGTTCTAGACTTTTACTGGGTGCAAGAGAGGCACTTGTCTAGCTGAGGAGTCTGGCTGCTTTTTTTTTTCCCCCTTAATACTTGAAGTACTTTTGATTGACTCAATAAATACTTAATCCTTCCCAGATAGAATATTGTGCTAGGAACTTGAGAATATAAACAGAAGAAGCAGGTCTGGATTCTGCCATTAAGAACTTCACGGATCAATATGAAAGATGTACACAAATATCTACAAACATCTACATCTACATCTATGCTAAGGGACATGCATAGGTAGATATAGTGGTTTATATAATATGGATTTTTAATCATGTGCTACCTTTTAAATTTCTTTGGGCGTATTGGTAAAATGGTTTCTAAAAACACATTTTAAAAAACCTACCAAAATAAAGTAGGCAAATTAAAAAATAGCTACTACCAAATACCTTATTTTGAAGATTTTTTTCATATGATTTAACTTCTGACTGATTCCAAAGACTTTCATCTAGTCTTCCTTATTGATTTTAGTTCCTACCTTTTTTTGGCCCCCATTTTTAGAGGTACATATGTAGTGCCACTAATTCTTAAGCTTTGGGGATTTGTTGGTAGATTGGTTCTCTATTTCCCCTGCTGCCTACATAGATATATACATGCACATGTCTGTGTATATATGTGTATACATATGTGTATATATATTTTTTCTAAGAAAGGCATAAACCCACAGGCTAGAAAGAGTGAGAAAAAAGAACAAGGTTATAACTTTCAGTGCTGAAGCTCACAGAAAAGTAGTGAAGGTCTTGGGACATATGAGAAAAATGAGTTCTAGGCAGGTAGCAGGGAAAGTAGAGAACCAATTTACCAGTGAATCTCCAAAAGTCTCAAGAATTAGCAGCACTACTTGCCTCCATGAATGTGTGTGTGTATACACATGCACACATACACACATACCAAGTCTGTTTGGAAAAAGTCCAGTCATTGTTAATATCATGAGGACAGTTTTCACTGCATCTATATAACTTAGCAGCCAAGGAGAGAGGACTGGAATGCTCATGTGTGAATAGTGACCACTTCACTGTACTAGTCAGTAGGGGCAGTAAATGCCATTGAGAGTGCATGGACACTATGTGGCCGTCACATTCAAAATGACTGAGTGAGTAGAGCAACAAATCTGCATCAGATTTTGCATTGTTTGAACATTCCTCAGCAGAAACTACTCAGATGATTCAGAAGGCTGCAGCTATGGTTAACTGGTGATTGGCAGCTTCATCACAACAATACATCTGCTCAGGCATCACGTCTTACACAGTTTTTTGGCGAAACATCAAATCCAGGTGACTCAGCCTCGATACGGCCCAGATTTGGTGCCCTGTGACTTTTGGCTTTTCCCTAAACTAAAATCACCTTTGAAAGGGAAGAGATTTCAGACTATTGATGAGATTCAGGAAAATGCGTCAGGGCAGCTGATGGCAATTGAGAGAACTGTGTGAGGCCCCAAGGTGCCTGCTTTGAAGAGGACTGAGTCATCATTGTCCTGTGTACAGTGTTTCTTATATCTTATATCTTCTTCAAGAAATATTTCTGTTTTTTGGAGTTCCGGCAAGATGGAGGAATAGGTGAACGCACCATACCTCCTCACACAACCAAGATTAGAACAACAATAATTTACAGATAGAATAACACTCAGAACTGATAGAGGATTTATCTGAATGGAAGTCGGACAGCCAAGAAGTTGAAGTAGACCCGTACATCCAGACCGGTAGGAGACAACGAGACGACGAGACGACGAGCTGGGTGGATGCGGGGCTGGCGCGGGTCGGGGGTGCGGAAGTCGGGGAAAATTTGGCCCAAAATTGGTGCAACAGCCATCTGGGGCGCAGGAAAGCAGCGGTGATCCCTGAGTACGCAAGCTGTGGCTGGTGGACCCAGTGAGGCGGCAATTGCTGACCAGGGCAGAGCTCGAAGCCCAGGATCCCAGAGAAGAGTCTGAGACCAGGAGAAAGGAACTACCGCCATTGTTTCCTCCCATCCCTGCTCCCGCTTCCGTCCCCGCCCCCACATATAACGTCACAATCTAGCGACTGGGGTGCCCAGCCCCGGTGAACACCTAAGGCTCCGCTCCCCCACCGTAACAAGAGCGACCAGACCAAGAGAGAGACAGGGAAAGACATAAGACATGTTTCCAACAGAACAGATCAGTCCCCCGGGACTCATCCTTTTGAGCGACCAAGAAATAGCCAATCTATGAGATGCACAGTTCAAAACACTGGTGATCAGAAAGCTCACGGAATTGGTTGATTTGGGGCACAATTTAGATGAAAGGATGCAGGTTACCATAAAAGAGATGCAGGAAAATACATGGAGGAGAGCCAATAGTGAAAGGAAGGAATCTGAGTCTCAAAACAATACAGTGGACCAGAAGGAAGATAGAATCAACCAAGCAGGAAAGCATGATGAAATAATTCAAAAAAATCGAGGAAAAGCTTAAGACCATCCAGGACACCTTTAAACGTTCCAACATCCGAATTATAGGGGTACCAGAATGGGAAGGGGGAAAGCAACACATTGAGCACGTATTTGAACAAATAATAAAGGAGAACTTTCCCAATCTGGCAAAGGGAACAGTCTTCCAAGAAATCCAAGAAGCTCAGAGAGCCCCAAAGAAGTTGGACCCAAGAAGAAACACACCAAGGCACATCATAATTACATTAGCCAAGGTAAAAACGAAGGAGAGAATCCTAGAAGCAGCAAGAGATAAGGGGACAGTCACCTACAAAGGAGTTCCCATCAGACTGTCAGCTTTCTCCAAAGAGACCTTACAGGCAAGAAGGGGCTGGAAAGAAATATTCCAAGTCATGAAAGACAAGGACCTACATCCTAGATTGCTCTATCCAGCAAAGCTCTCATTTAGAATGGAAGGGAAGATAAAGTGCTTTTCAGATAAGGTCAAGTTAAAGGAGTTCATCATCACCAAGCCCTTATTTTATGAAATGCTAAAGGGACTTATCTAAGAAAAGAAGATAAAGAAAAGACATGTATAGTAAAAGGACAGCAAACTCACAATTATTAACAACCACACCTAAAGCAAAACCAAAAGAAACTAAGTAAACAACTAGAACAGGAACAGAACCACAGAAATGGAGGGCACATGGAGGGCTAGCAGCGGGGGGAGGAAGAGGGGGGGGAAAGGTATAGAGAATAAGTAGCATAGAATGTAGGTTGAAAATGGATAGGGGGAGGGCAAGAATAGTACGGGAAATGTAGAAGCTAAAGAACTCATAAGTATGACACATGGACATGAACTAAAGGGGGGAACGTGGGTGGGATAGGGGGTACAGGGTGGAGGGGAGAGAAGGGGGGAAATGGGATATATTTAAAAAAATATTTCTGTTTTTCATATATATGGCTGGATACCTTCTGGACAGGCCTTGTATATTCTTTCAGTGGTGTTTGGGAGTAAAAATAGATGAGTGTGTTCAGTCTTTATCCAGGAGTCTTAATGTCTTTGTGTGTACTTGTCTCATCTCCTTTAACTAGACTGCAAACTCTTATTATTTGCTTGAGTTAGGTATATAATTATTTATATTCCTCTCAGCAACTAACTGCCTTCCATGTAGTAAATCATAATCTGTTGTTTGACTGGTTATGTAAAGCAGTGATACTAAGTGAACTGATGTGTATAATGAATTGGTAATCATTCTAATCTGCAGGGAGGTGATGTGCTGTGTCCCTGGAGCAATGATTTATTCCTTGCTGTATTAGTTCCTTTAGTTTCCATATTGAGGATGATTGATATTCTGTATAGGTACACTATACTAAAGGGTACGAGGTTAATGTTTCATAGTGTGAAAATGTCCTCACTATCCATATTTAAGGTTTATGGACAGTGGATTCCATTATCCTAATTGCATGAATGTTTCACTTCACCCAGGATTTCTTAGGGTAACAGTTACTGAGAAGTAGAAATGAAGATGGAGGATGAGGAAAAGCACTAAAGATATTTGTTTCCCTCCCTTTTCTTCCTGTTCTTCTTGTTAATTAACATACTATTATCAGTGGAAACCTAATTAAACTTTTCCTAATCTGATGTAAACCTTTGTAGTAGCTGGTATAAATTAGGTATTTAGTATTTTAATAGATACTTGACATAATGTGTACTCTCTACAGTAAAGTTAAACCATGGCACTAAATGAAAATGAGTACTTTGACACTATGCCCCGGCTAAGTTAGGGAACCAATTATGTCTTATTTATGATGTCTTTCCAGTCCTAACAGGGGCTTTACAGAAATGCACTGCATGAGTGGCCACTCCAATTTTGTATCTTGTGTGTGCATCATACCTTCAAGTGATGTGTACCCCCATGGACTAATTGCCACTGGAGGAAATGACCACAATATTTGTATTTACTCACTGGAGAGCCCAGCACCACTTTATATACTAAAAGGTCACAAAAATACTGGTGAGTATAGTGCTTTAGTGTTTTTCTATTTAAGAAAACTCATCCTTTTGAAAGTAAAATTTACATATACATTTTTCCTGGTTTATATTATGTTTGTTTACCTATAGGTAATCGGCTTGATAGTAAAAATCTTTTGGGGTTAGCATTCCCCTATAAACGCGGTTACAGATTTACTCTTGTGTTCGGTAAAGTTTTTCATGCTTATACAGATGTGGGCAAAAGTAGGTTTACAGTTGTAATACAAGTAGTATAATAATTAATAATAATACCTGAATAAACTGTGTTCCCATACTCACAACTATAAACCTAATTTTGTCCACTGCTGTCTATTTAAAAAGTAAAGCGATCAGTTATAAAAGGAAGAGCCCATATAGTTTTGATACACTTTGTGATTTTGGTTTTTCAACTATTGAAAAGACTTTACTCAGGAAAACTAAGAGTATCTCTTTATGTTTTGACTGTTATGTCTGTATTTATACAGGAAATTGAATGTGTTTAGAGTGCTGGTATTATTTTTAAGGAGGAATACTGTCAAATAATTCTATTTCTGGGATTTGTGTAAACTATTTCTGATTCTCCTAATATTCCTGGATTTGTGTATGACTTAGCAGCTCTTTGTTATAAAGTGTTAAGCATATTCAGTATAAATCAGTGCAGTATGTGTCCTTATTTTTTAATGTATCTGGAATACTTTAGGACATATGTAAGCAAATAGTATGGCCCATAAAAAGAAACACTTCAAACTGAATTTCCTTGAGGAGTTTGGAAAATGCTTTGTATATATGTGAAATCTTCGATACAGAATGATACAGATTCTTTAACTTTATTATAGAAATCTTCAATACATACAGAAGTAGAGACAGTAATTTACATCGAGTTATATACACCCATATCTAGTAGGGAATAATAATCTGTTCCACCTATGTATTTTACATTGCTTCAAGGATTATCCACATAAGCTCTATCTTGTTTCATCTTTCCCCTCTTCCACAACATTATTTTAAAGGAAATTTTCAGTATACTGTTGCATTTGTAAATACTTCAGTATGCAGCTATAAAATAGTATTTGGCAAACTTTTTCTGAAAACAGCCAGATAGTACACGTTTTAGGCTTTGCAAGCCATCTGGTTACTTTCACAACTGCTCTACTGTGCCATTGTGTTCAAAAGCAGCCATTGACAAATAAATGAATGGGTCTCTCTGTGTTTCAGTAAATCTTTATTTATGGACACTGAAATTTGAAAGTTACATAATTTTCACGTCAGGAAGTATATTTTGTTTATTTTTCCCTAACCACTTAACAAATGTAAAACCCATTCTTAGTTTGTGTGCTATATAGTACAAGTGGCCCATGGGCCATCATTTGTTGACCACTCTAAACGGTATGGATTCTCTCTTTCTTTTTTTTTTTAAATCATTATCACACCTGAAATAAAACAAAACCTCATTTCTTATTATCACATATCCAGTGAATATTCACATTTATACAGTTATCTCATAAATGTTTTTTCTAGTTTAATGACCCAACCAAGGTCCACATATCTTTCAATATGTCAGTTCCTTATCCTCCTCCATTTAAAACCAGCTTACTTTACTTGTAGAATTTCCCACAATCTGAACTTTGCTGATTAGAGCCTTCCTGTTCCCTTTAATATGTTCCTCAGTTCCCTATATGTCATATAAACTATTAGTTAGATCTAGAAGTTGACCGAGATTCAGATTCAAGTTTTTAACATGAATATTTTATAGGTAGTATTGTGTACTTTTGTGTAGCACATTAAGAGGCATGTGATACCTCTTTTTTGTGATGTTCAGATTGAACAGTGGATTCGAGTGTTGTACACCAATTTGTTATAACATTCCCATCAGTCTTATGTAATGATTTTTAGCATCTATTGATGATCATTGCATAGATCCAGTATTTCATTAATGTCTTCAAAATGATTATACTCTGATTCTATCATTATTTCTGTATTTAATAGTTAGCATTTTTTTATATAAAACTTTCCCACATAAACTCTTTGGTTACCATGGAAGTGTTTCCTTGCCCCCTCTCCCACGTCTTTTACTGAGTTCAAAAATGAGTTGGTTTCCTAACATCTTTTTTTTCTGATTCTTAAATTGTCCCATATCAGGCCATTGGAATCCTCTTAAATTGGCTCCTGTGACCAGAGAATAAATCTCCATCTCCTACAGTGAGTGAGGATGGACTTTCCTGACACTGTAGGCTGAGGAGAGAAATCTGTTGTTTGACTGTGTCATATGCAGACTGTGAATCACTCTTGTTTTTTCAGGCCTCTGCTTAGCTCCATCCTTCATGAAACCAAGAGGCTGCATACTAAGTCTTACAGTTGTGGGCCCAGTCACTGTATTTCTGAATTCATCTCTGTGGGTGTTTAAATTATAATCTTCCTCCATTTTGCTAAGTCAGTTGTTTTATTTTCAGTTGCCTTTGTCCTTGTAGATCAATACCATTTATAGCATCACTCTAAACAATCTGCCATTTTTAATGAGAGTTCTGGGGAGGGGGTTGCATTTCCATATTTTTAGATAACTTTTCATTTGTAATTTTTAGCCTGTATAATTTTACATTAGTGAAACATTTAACCATTCCATTACTGTTGCACATTTAGCTTGGCTCTGGTGTGTTTTTTGTTTTTGTTTTTGTTTTTGTTTTATCATTTCAACTATAGTGACAAATATCTTTAGTAATAGCATTTCAAAATCATTTAGCACCAGCCAGGTAGCTGAGTTGTTCAGAGCATTGTCCTGCTATGTCAAGATTGCAGGTTATGTCCTCTATCAGGGAACATATAAGAAGGAACCAATGAATGCATAAATAAATGGAACAATAAATCGATGTCAGTTTGTCCATCTCTCTCTCTCCCCCACCTCTCTAAAATCAGTTTTTAAAATTATATTAAAATCATTTACATTGTCTTCCCATGTAGTTTTTTAGAACTGGAAGGGATTGTGCAAGCCACGTAATAATCCTGTTCCTTCATTCTGCAGATGAGGAATCTCAGGTTAAGTAATATCCTTGTGGTCAGACTGCCCATAAGTGGCGTCTCTAATACTTGCAACCAGGCAGCCTGACAACAGAGTCATAAACACTGTACACATTTCTCCATCTCTGTTAAGTGTTTTTAAAATTGCAGTGCTTTAATAACTAACAAGATTGAACATTTTTCTAGATGAAAATATGTTCACTAATGCCTTTTTTTCCTTTAGTATGTAGTCTTTCATCTGGAAAATTTGGGACATTACTTAGTGGCTCATGGGACACTACTGCTAAAGTGTGGCTGAATGACAAATGCATGATGACTTTACAGGTATGGTAGTTCTGTGTGAAAGTTCTAGATAATTAAATATGATGACTTGTGGCAACTTAAATTAATACCCATTTTACTCACAGGGTCATACAGCTGCCGTGTGGGCAGTAAAGATCTTACCTGAACAGGGCTTAATGTTAACTGGATCTGCAGACAAAACTATTAAACTGTGGAAAGCTGGAAGATGTGAGAGGACTTTTTCAGGTAATATCACAGTATATACCTCTTACCATCCTATTGCTTCATATTTATTCAAATGGTCTTTTTCTCAAAGGTTTGGAAGCTTGGAAGTGGTATTTGAAAAATGTCACCCATGTATCTTTTTAAAAGATACTTTGAAACCTCTCATTAAAATCCAGGTTGCATTAATAAATAGGTACCTCATTGCCTATAATTTCTGAATGTGGTTCTATGAACTATGTATGTGTACCTTGTGGCATGCAGTTACATTTTTGCTTGTCCTTTGAACATGTTCATTTTGAACCTTGGTGGCTCAGTAGTGTTATCTTCATATATTGAGGAAACATAAGTGCTTTCATTAATATTGAAGTATATTGTTTAATAATACATTTCAGGCTATATTTATTTAATGGTTTAGGTGGGTAGTTTTTTTAGTAAAAGGCAAAAGATTTACATGATCTGAAGAGAAACCAGAATATAGGTGGGTACTCTTTTTATACCTCAGCTATTAAATAGCTCCTACACTGGTGTGAATTTTTTGTTGTTTTTTTTCTTTTATTTACTTTTTTAAACTTGATTACCACCGTGGAGGATAACACTGTGAGAAGTCCCTATTGAAGATAAAACTATCTATAGATGGAAAATGGACAATGAGTTCTAATAAACATCTCTCTGTTTTTGCTTCCACGTATACATATATGTATCAAGTTGTTATTAATCCATGATAGACAATCAATTTAGCAAATATTGAGCAAGGGAAAGGTTTTGACTTCTCATTTTTGTTATTAGATTAGAAGCTTCAAAGAATGTTTTGTTATTAAAAAAATCATAGAGATATTTTTCTACAAGGCTTCAAGTGATATTGAAATAAATTGAATTTTGTCAACTGTATCCCCAGTTACATAATTAACATTATATAAGAAGTTTATTGCATAAATTCTTACTGTTTTAAAAACTCAATAGTCATTGGTTTTTAGTTTATCTTTTTAATGCTTGCATTTATATAAATTATGAAATGTTCCCAAAAATAAATCAGCAATGTTTGGCTTTAAATTTGCATATTGGCTGAATCAAGAGGTAGTATAATTAATCAGGAAACGTGAATTCTTGTTTTAGCATTGCCTATGATTAGATGGTTGTAGAAAACCTCTCTCAGCCTACTCTTGCATATTTTAATAAAGTTTACTTTTCTGTGATGTATTTTATATTTCAAATTTAAATTATTGTAATCTTTTATAATTTTAGTTTTTCTTAATTTTCTCTGGTGTTTTATAAGTATTAATTTTCATATTGTGTGGTAAAAAACTTAAGGGATATTTATTCCTTGTTATATATTTCAGTTATTTTTGAATATTGTATATGTTATGAATTAGTTTTACTATTGGGTAAGAAAAATTGAATTGTCAGGTAAAAAAGGAGAGTAGTGGGGAATCAAAGTTATGTTTCTGAGGGTTTTCAGAAAAAAATTGCAGGCTTCCTGGCCAAGATAGAGGCATAGGTAGATACACTTTGCCTCCTCACACAAGCAAAAGGAGGACAACAAATTGTAAAACAAAAATAACTAAAACTTCCAGAAAATCTAACTGTATGAAAGTTCGACAACCAAGGAGTTAAAGAAAAAGCATTCATCCAGACTGGGAAGAGGGGCGGAGACTAGCAACAGGGGTAGAGAGAACTTGCAGCAAGGCAGCGGCTGGAGGACCAGGGTGGGCAGTGGCTGGCAGAGCTGGTAAGGCGACTGTTCCCACGTTTTTGTGTGGATAAACCAGAAGGAACATCTGGGGAGCAAGATAGGCTACACAACCCATGGTCCCAGTGAGGGGAAATAAAGCCTCAAAACCTGACTGAAAAAACCTGTGGGGGTTGAGACAGTAGAAGAAACTCCCAGCCTCATAGGAGAGTTCATTGGACAGACAGACCTATGGCATCCTAGAACGTTCACAAACCCACCCACCTGGGAATCAGCATCAGAAGGGCCCAATTTGCTTGTGGGTAGCAGAGGAAGTGACTGAAAGTCACCGAAAGCTGAGCAAGTGACATTGTTCCCTCTCAGACCCCTCCCCCACATAGAGTGCCACATGGGTTGCCTCACCTTGGTGAATACCTAAGACTCTGCCCCTTACAATGTAACAGGTGTGCAGAGACAAAAAAAAAAAAATGGCCCAAATGAAAGAACAAATCAAAGCTCCAGAAAAAATACAACTAAGCAGCTAGGAGATAGCCAGCCTATCAGATGCACAGTTCAAAACACTGGTAATTAGGATGAACCACAGAAGTAGTTCATTATGGTTGCAAAATAGAGGAAAAAGTGAAGGCAATGAAAAGTGAAAGAAAGGAAAATATATGGGAACCAATAGTGAAGGGAAGAAAACTGGGACTCAAATCAATGATTTAAAACAAAAGTAAGAAATAAACATTCAACCAGAACAGAATGAAGAAACAAGAATTCAATAAAATGAGGAGAGGCTTGGGAACCTCTAGAACAAATCTAAATATTCCAATATCTAAATCATAGGAGTTCCAGAGGGAGAAGAGGAAGAGCATGAAATTGCAAACATAACGAAGGAAAACTTCCCTCATCTGGCCAAAGAAATAGAATTCCAGGAAGTCCAGGAAGCTCAGAGTCCCAAAGAAGTTGGATGCAAGGAAGCACATACCAAGGCACATCTTAATTACATTAGCCAAGATTAAAGAGAAGGAGTGAAACCTAAGAGCAGCAACGGGAAAGGAGACAGTTACCTGCAAAGGAGTTTCTGTAAGACTCTTAGCTGATTTCTCAAAAGAAACCTTGCAAGCAGGAAGGGGCTAGAAAGAAGTATTTGAAATCATGAAAGGCAAGGACCCACATTCAAGATTACTCTATCTAGCAAAGCTATCATTTAGAATGGAAGGACAGACAAAAAGCTTCCCAGATAAGGTCAAGTTAAAGGAGTTCATCATCACCAAGCTCTTATTATAAGAAATGTTAAAGGGACTTATCTAAGAAAAAGATGATGATCAAAACTATGAACAGTAAAATGACAACAAACACAACTATCAGCAACTGAACCTAAAAAAACAACCAACTAAGCAAACAGAACAGGAACAGATTCACAGAAACAGATATCACATGGAAGATTATCAGCAGAGAAGGGGTGGGAGGAGAATAGGGGGAAAGGTGCAGGGAATAAGCATAAATGGTAGGTACAAAATACACAGGGAGAGATTAAGAACAATATGGGAAATGGAGAGCCCAAAGAATTTATATGTACGACCCATGGGACGTGATCTAAGGTGGGGCAATGCTGGTGGGATGGGGGTACAGAGCGGATGGGAATAAAGAGGAGAAAATAAATGGGCAACTGTAATAGTATAATAAATAAAATATATTAAAAACATAAAATGCTCAAAAAAAGTTGGAGAAGACTAAATAAATATAAAATACTATATTGTGCCACGTATAATGTGTACCCATGTTTTTGGCCCAAACTTTCAGGAAAAAAAATTTTTTGTTTTAATTTTTAATTCAATTTTGTATTTATTTATACTTAGAAACAAAACCGATTGTTGTATTCCAGAGTATTATTTTCCATATGGATATCCTTAATGCTTTCTAGAATAATACTTTTAATGCATAAACATAAAGAATTTATATACAGAATTAGTACCACCCATAGATAATGCACATCCTTATTTTTTCCCAAAAACTTTGGGCAAAAAAGTGCACATTATATATGGTAAAATATGGTAATTTCTTAAGACTGGTGATGAAAAAGAGACTGCCGCAAAATTTTGGTTACCCAGCTTTTCTACAGAAAAAATGAGTTTCTCAAACTTGAAAATCAGGTTTTACTATTCATTGATGTGTTTTACCATATGTTGATGAACTACATAGAGCCATCAACAAAATAATGTATTTTATTGATTTATAGTATTTTTTTAATACAGGGCATGAAGATTGTGTAAGAGGTTTGGCAATTTTGAGTGAAACAGAATTTCTTTCCTGTGCAAATGATGCCAGTATTAGAAGGTGGCAAATCACTGGAGAGTGTCTTGAAGTATATTATGGACATACAAATTATATTTATAGCATATCTGTCTTCCCAAATTCTAAAGGTAAGATTATTTTATACCATTCATTTTTAAAATTTTGTATTGGCCATTGTTTTTTCACATTCTTAAGGTGAGGGAATGAGGGCTGATGACTTAAATCAATTTACTAACTGTAACTTGAATAATTTAGTAACTTTATTTCATAAGTATTTTTTTCTAAAGGAGAAAATTATATGATCTTTATATTAATTCGCATTTGATGGTTTTGTTGTAAAAAGTTCTTAGGTATCAGGAAAGTATATCTAGGTGTAGTATGTAAAATGTGAAATGTATAAAACCATGATTTTTAGCACTGCCTGGTATGGCTCAGTGGATTGAGTGCAGGCCTATGAACCAAAAAGTCGCTAGTTCGATTCACCGGGCATATGCCTGGGTTGTAGGCCAGGTTCCCCGTTGGGGGCATGGGAGAGGCAGCCGATTGTTGCCTCTCTCATCAATGTTTCTCTCCCTCTCTTTCTCCCTCCCTTCCCCTCTCTTTAAAAATAAATCAGTGACTTTTAAAGTTGTATAAAATGACAAATACATAAAATTTAAAACTATAATTTTAAAATACTTTCTGGATTAAAAAAGATCAGCCTGTCTAGGAAGATGATTTGTATTAATGTACTTAGTTTTATTCATTCAAAATAATTTTTCCTGAATTCATTAATTTTAGATTTTGTGACAACAGCAGAAGACAGATCTTTGAGAATATGGAAACATGGAGAATGTGCTCAAACAATCCGACTTCCAGCTCAGTCTATATGGTGCTGCTGTGTGCTAGATAATGGTGACATTGTGGTTGGTGCCAGGTATTTATATTCTAGTCAATCAATAAATAATATGTGTCCAGGACTTTGGTAGGCATTAGAGTGCACAGAGATTAGCCATAAGGAATTCCATGTGAATTGGAGAGACTATATGCACAATTCTGTTATTGAATAAAATAGTAATAGGTATAGTAGCTGTTATTACACTAATAATACAGGGTATATTATTTCCAGTATTTTTCTGTAAGTTGTGCAGTTGAAACACTGAATGCAAAAGAAATTGGAGAAGGTAGAGATTGGTGTAGGGAGACATTCTGGAGAAGAGATTTGGATGGGATTTTAAAAGATAATGAGTAAGAAGGGAAATGAGAATTTTTATCAAAAGAAAGAGTAGAAGTAAAGATGTGTCATGGAAATGAAAGTAATGTTTTAGGAAAAGATGGAAAATGGTAGAGGATTAATGTTGGGAAAAGTGGATAATAGGTAAGGAGGGCTTTATTATGGAGAACCTTCAGTGCTAGGCATTATTTAGATTCAGTGCTCAGGGTTAAAGGGTTGTAGCTCTTGAGCAAGAAGTGATATGATTAAAGTAGAACCAGTGACTTATTAAATATGTGGGTTTTATTTAGTTAGTGGTGACCATGGGAAGGAAAGCCAATCAGAAAGGAGTCTCAGTGGTAAGAGTGTAAAGTTATTGAAATATTAGCCCCACAATGCTACTGGATAAGAGACTAAAAATGAGACAGTGCTGAGGAAAATGATCAGAAATTGAATGAAAGAAAAGGGTAAAGTATCAAACTTTTGGTGACTGGAAGTCCTCATTAATAAAAATGGGTACGTAGGAGAATTAGTTTAGTGCAGAAGGTAATGAGTGTGGTTTTAGATTTTGTGAATCTAAGTGATTTGCCACACTCATGCCAGCGCATCATGAGCAGTTGGACTGGAGCCTAACAATTGAGACTGAAAATAAAAATTTTCATAAAACTGCCCAAGTTAAGTGGTGGACCACCTTCCGCTGAGGAAAGAAGCATAGTTGGGGAGGAACAGAAGGCTAAAGACTGAATTTTGTGACATACTGTGGGTAGAGAAAAAGAAGCCTGTAGCTTAAGCAGAAAAAGAAATCCAGATGTTGAAATCCAGGTGTTGAAATTCAGAGGTGGTAAAAGAGAGATTTTGGCAGGAGATTGTGATCATTGTCAATAAATACATGAGGAATTAAGGATGGAAGGTTGGAAAAGCTTTTGGATTTGGTTTAAAAGATGTTATTCGTGAGTTGCACATCAGATTTTGGTAGAAAATGATAGAAGAAGGTAAGTAAGAGGCAACAATAGATGAAAGATTATAGACTACTCTGGCATTGAAGGCAAGAAGAAAAAGCAGTAAGGCATAGATCAGCCCCCAACCTTTTTGGCACCAGGGACCAGTTTTGTGGAAGACCACTTTTCCACAAAGCAGGTTATGGGCACTTTATATCTTGCCACCATAATGCAGCTTAATTATTACTTGCCACTCACTGATAGGGTTTTGATATGAGTCTGCAAGGAATTGATTTATTATGGTCTCTGTACAGTCAAACCTCTCGGCTAATGACAATTAGCAGCCCCAGTGCTGGCATCACCTTCTCAGCTCCACCTCAGATCACCAGGCGTTAGATTCTCACAAGGAGCACACAGCCTAGGTCCCTCACATGCACAGTTCACAGTAGGGTTCATGTTCTTAGGAGAATCTAATGCCTCCTGCCCAGATCTAACAGGAGGGGGATCTCAGGTGGTAATTCGATCGGTGGGGAGAGGCTGTAAATACAGATGAAGCTTCACTTACCTCCTGCTGTGCAGCCCTGTTCCTAGCAGGCCACTGACTGGACCTTGGCCTGGGGTTGGGAACCCCTGGAATAGAAATCTAATAAAGTGGAGCTATTTTGCTTTGTGGCTGGGCTGGCAGTTGATTTATTGGCTTATTTCCTCCCTCGCCACCCAAACTCCCACCCTTCGCATATTTAAAGTTGAAGAAATATAAATAAATTGAAAGGGTGAAATTGCTGTGGAATTTCACAGCAGTTAGTGGAAGGTTATGTGAGAAACAAAGTTTTCTGTAGAATTGGGTAGAGTTAGTAGAGTTGGAAGTTGCTAACTTGCCTCCCCAACCAAAATTTAGAATTGAGAAATCATGGTAATGAAGTCACTTTTCTGAGAATAGAGGTTGGGATTGCTACCTAGTCCAAAGGTGAGGCTGGTTTTTTTCTTATTTGGGGTTACATTGCTAGTTAATGGCATACTAAAGGCAGATTCCATGGTTCTCTAAGAAACAGTTATTGAGCATCAGCTCTTTTTTAAGTCGTATGTTGGGTATTTGAGCCCTTAATAAATTAAACCAGACCACTATCTTTATATCGTAACACTTATGTAATATTGACTTTTAAAATGTACACTTTATCACAAGATTTTTATGGTAAATATTTAATTTGGAATGAATATTGTGTTAAATGTATATTTCTCTGTCCTTTGCCAGTAACTTTTCCCTAGTTTTTTTCCACCCTATACATTGTAGAAACAATGTATACACCCTAGAAAATAATAGAGGGCAATGTGTGCTTAGATACACACAGTGCTATGCTCAACAATAAGTACATAGTAATGTTTCTCATATTCACAAATAAAGATTATTTTTGCTTTGGATCATTCAGGTATGATGATGTTAATACACTATGGCAATGACTTAAATCAGTTTATTTTTCCTTATAGTGATGGTATTATTAGAGTGTTTACAGAATCAGCGGATCGGACAGCGAGTGCAGAGGAGATCAAGGCTTTTGAAAAAGAACTTTCTCAGGCAACCATTGATTCCAAAACTGGTGATTTAGGGGACATTAATGCAGAGCAGCTTCCTGGGAGGGAACATCTGAATGAACCTGGTAAATATTTCAGTGTATCCAGTAGTAAAAATTGTTACCAATTATTCCAAAATTTTGGAATTAAAGCGGTAAGGAAAAAAAAGTTGATTTGCTAATTATTTTGTGTAAAAGTCAAATAACACTGAACTAATGATTGCACTTGTGGTGAAAAAGTAATGGCGGGTAAGACTGTTGGCTCCCTATACACACATCAAGGCAGTGGCATCACAATGTCTAGTAGTTACATGTTCTCTACCGACACACAGTCGTAGTTAAAAAAAAATGCCATATGCCCTCAAAAATGCCCTTGATGGATCATCAAACTTTTATTTTACTGCATTTACATCCTTTTAGTACATTTTAAGAAATAGATTCTGGATGACAGAGTACACATTGCACTTACAGTATACCAAAGCACTCTGGTGTCTGAAGGATATGTGCAGTCATTTAATTTGCAGGCTGAACTAGTCCCTTCTTCATGGAGTGGCATTTTTATTTTGCAGAACGACTAATTAGTTGTTGAGGCTTGGATATATGGCAGGCATTTGTTAAAAATGAACATAGTGATCTTGTCACTTTAAGGAAAACAACTGACAGTATTTGTTGCCAAAGATATAATTCAAACTTTCAAGTGTGAATTGAAATTTTAGAACATCTGTATCTGCCACCGGGAGCTTGATAGTTTCCCACTACTTACAAGACTGTTCTAATGATATCAGTAGCACTATTAGCAAGTGTGATTTCTTTTTTGATATTGAATAATGTGTAAACATGTGGAAGATCTGCATGGCTTATTCAGTATTTTCCAAATGCTAGTTCATGATGTTATAAACTGTTCAATGTGTAAGATAGACAATGGATTTTAGCTTAATAGTGTATGTCAAATTAATCGATATGGTTTTAGATTCTAAATTATAACTTCTAAGGACCTGTTACTTGTGTAATACATATTTCTGAAAAAACTGTTAAAACTAGTCTTCTCTTTTTCAACATTTTTTTATGTATATATACCTCAACCCAAACAACAGATGGCAACAGATTGAATGCACAGGCAGGTATGGTAAATCCAGCTGTCTTCTATTAAGAAAGACAGTAAACTGATTTACAGAAATAGAAAACAGTGCAGTCTTTTCATTAAATTTCTAAAAATAAAACATTTTTCATTAAAATATTTATTCAAAATATAATGGATCAATTATTGTTTTCCATGCAGTAAATATGTTGTCATTTTCCATTTCAAATCTAATAAATTAGTTGATATAACCCACATTAAAGAAAGCTCTTTGGGCCTCTGAATAACTCTTATGACTACAAAGAAATTTTGAAAACAAAACTTTGAGAACCTCTGCATTAATATGTTTTAATATTTTTATAATTCTTTACAAAGTATGGTCTTTTTGTCACTATGTATATACATAAATAAATATTTACTAAGGGCCTTATATGTGCCAGGCATTGTTCTAAGCTCTGGGGATACAGCAGATAACAAAACAGAGAAAAATCTCTGTTCTCACACATTTATGTTCTACATGAGGAGACGGATAATTTAAAAAGTAAGTAATATTTAACTACCTCAGATAATGATAAGTACTGAGGGAAGAATAAAGCCATGGTTGTGGCTGTTTTATTACTGTACATGCAGTGGCTAGGGAACATGTAATAGGGTAGCAGTAGCTGCTATAACACGTAAACACAGATTAATCCTAAAATCTCAGTGGCTCCACACAAAGTTTACTTATTGCACATTTAAAGTTCAGTTGATGGCAGGGTATGTTGGAGCATGTTGGTAGAGTAATTTTGCTCCTCAGGATTATTCAGGGAGCCAGGCTGATGGAAACCACCATCTTCAACATGTGATGTCAAAGATTCCTTGGGTGTAGATTTTCATCCATCAAACAGGGTAATAGGGGAGTATAGAGGATGATAGAGTAGGCCTTGAAATAGCCTATATCATACCCGCCTAGATGCCACCAGGTATATATTCAGTATGTAACATCTAGGGACTGCAAGGCGCAAGGGGGCTAAATAATGTTATCTCTGACTAGACAGCCACAGCTGTACTGTATGGAACAGAAGGGATCATGACTGTGGAGGGCAGATAGTGTCTTTGCCACTGAAAGCTTTGCTGAGAATGTGACATTCAAGTAAAGCCCTTAAGGTGGCAAGGGAACAAACCTTGCCAGCAAGAGTGTCAAAGGCAGAATAAATAGCTAGCTAGTTCAAAGATTCATGGCTGGAGTAGGAAGGGGGGCTGAGGGAAGGAATAGAGGAAGATCAGGTAAGAGAAGATAGTAGGGGCAGATTATATTTGGCCTTGTACACTACTCCATTGACATAAGCTTTAATCAATGGCGAGTTGGGAAATCATTGAAGGGTCTCAGCTGAAATGTGTCAGGAGCTCCTTAAACTTTTGAAATAATTTCTGGGATTGCTGTGTTGAATATAGACTAGGAGGCCCAAGGTAGGAATAGGAGGCCATTAATCATTACAACTGAGAAATGATGGTGGCTTGTACCAATGGGTAGTGAAGGAGATAGTGAAAGAGGTCCTTCTAGATATATTTTAAATACAGAGCTGATAGAATTTTCTAAAGGATTGGCTGTGGGGTTGCAAAAAAGAGGAATCAGACTCCTCCATACATTTTGTCCTGAGCAGCTAGAAGAATAGAGAATCATGTACTGAAATGAAAGTGTTGTCAGAAGATACTCTAATAAAGCTTGGTTTAATTTTCATGGGCTTGCTACTTTCTAGAATCATTTTTTAACCTTCCTTTATTTAATAAAGTATAAGTTTTTTACACCACTTTCCAGTAAATTATATTTTTAAATCTTTTGTTTGATAAAATTTTCTACTAAACCTAAATACAGATTCTCTTTTATATATAAATTTTAATGTTAACAATTTCCTATCTAAATGTTTCTTAGTTTAACCCTGCCGTTTAATCTTTGATTCTCAAAATTTTTATTTTAAGGTACTAGAGAAGGACAGACTCGTCTAATCAGAGATGGGGAGAGCGTCGAAGCCTACCAATGGAGTATTAGTGAAGGGAGGTGGATAAAAATTGGTGATGTTGTTGGCTCATCCGGTGCTAATCAGCAAACATCTGGAAAAGTTTTATATGAAGGGAAAGTATGTTAACTTCTGCTTTCTAATTACCTTTATCTTAAAGCATTCGATAAATTAAATGTTTTCCCTTTTCTCCATGCTAATAAAATTTTCTTTGGTGTTTAAAATTATATTTCTATGGGGGAAATTCTCTCTTTTTCCATCTTGAATTAGATTTTTCAAGAATCTCTTTCCATGTAGAGAAAGCTGCGTTTTTCTTTTTCTTTTTTTTTTTTAAGATTGTATTTATTTATTTTTAGAGGAGGGAAAGAGGAAGAGAAACATCAATATGTGGTTGCTTCTCCTGTACTCCCTACCGGGGGTTTGGCCAGCAACCCAGGCATGTGTCCTGACTGGGAATGAAACCAGCAACCCATTAGTTTGCAGGCTGGCCTTCAACCCACTGAGCCACACCAGACAGGGCAGAAAAGCTGCATTTCATAAACAGATTAGGCATTATTTGTCTTTTAGTAGTTAGCATAATTTGTTTCCAACCATTTCGGATTAGGAGCTTCTCTACCATCTTTCATCTAATGCTTCCTGCCTATATTTAACTTGACAAGACATGAGGGACCCTACGGGGAATGCTTACGATGCCAGAATGTTGGTTATGTGGCATAGTAACAGCTAATATTTTAGCCTTGAAATCGACCAACTGGAAATTCTCCTTTGGCCTTAGAATTAAAATGTAGTTGTAATTCATCCCCCACCTCCTCTCCCCAGTGAAATACTAATCTTGTAGCACATGAAAGTGGTTGCTATTAATTATATGCCAAGCGGAAGATTTTAACATTGCATTTTGGAGAAAGTTTAAGTACTATAATTATTAAAATAAAGAACACATAATATCTGACTATATATGTCATTAATACACATGAACAGAAAACTTAGTAATTATCTCCTTTTTATATTCCTATTAAAGGAATTTGATTATGTTTTCTCAATTGATGTCAATGAAGGTGGACCATCCTATAAATTGCCATATAACATCAGTGATGATCCTTGGTTAACTGCATACAACTTCTTACAGAAGAATGATTTGAATCCCATGTTTTTGGATCAAGTGGCAAAATTTATTATTGATAATACAAAAGGTCAAATGTTGGGACTTGGAAACACCAGTTTTTCAGATCCGTTCACAGGTGAGTTAGGGTTGGTATTAAGGCTTAATGTGCTTCCATCTATTTTGGTTGATTTTCATTATTTGGTATGTTTAAATGCCTATTATGATTATCTGTTTAAATGAAAACCAAGATCTACAGTAGGTTTTTCTTCATGTTCATATTTGTAAGACTCAAATTATATAGTAATTCTGTGTTTATAAAAATGATTATAGATTGTTCTGTTACAAAAATGTCACACTGTAAACTAAATAAAATTAAGAAATTCTCATGTAGTAGTTTGAAATAAAAAGAAGCTTCTGTGTTGCTTTGTATAGTACTAATTTTTTTTAAAGATTTTATTTATTTATTTTTAGAGAGGGAAGGGAGGGAGAGAGAGAAACATCAATGTGCAGTTGCTGGGGGCTGTGGCCTGCAACCCAGGCATGTACTCTGACTGGGAATCGAACCTGCGACACTTTGGTTCGCAGTCCGCACTCAATCCACTGAGCTACGCCAGCCAGGGCCTATATGGTACTTATTTTTAAAAATATATTTTTTGATGAAATTCTGTTTTCACATGAGGCTAAATTGATTAGTTGTGCATCACATCTGGGGCTGAACTGTGGGTAGTTTTATATGTTACTTTTATTCCACATGTTCATTTTGAGTCACCTGTTTGTAACATACAGTGTCTCAATTTTTATAAATGGGATTTGGTTCTCATGCCAGTCGAAAAATTGTAATCCTAGTAGTAGTAGTCTGAGCCCTGGCTCCTAGGAAATAGATTATAATTCTAGCCTGAGTATAAGCCTGAGTTCTGGGCCCCAGGAACCAAAACCATGGTGCAGGATGAAATAAAATGCTTCGTCTTTTTGTAGGTGTAGGGCAAGCTCTAAATAAAATTTTAAAATGAGTACTGTATTTTTAATGTTATGCTGTTGTCAGTTTTGACTCCATTTTTAATTTGCTACTGGTCTTTCTTGTTTTATAAGGAAGGATCCCCTATCCTCTTTTTTTCTTCCTTGACAGATACTTCATGCTCCCAAATTACCTCCTCTTTCCATATTTCCATTGCTAGTTCACACAGTAAAGCTAATCTCATTTGCATGCTGACTTAAAAAGAATTATGAGACTGACTTACTACTGAACTATAAATGATGCAACCTTCCCAAAAGTTGCACTTTATTAAAAAAGGAGGTCCAGGAACATTTTTATTACCTGGATATTTCTGTTGGTGGACTTTCAGTCTGTAATGCAAAAGTGAACATATAGCAATACTGTGTAAGCTATTTTATGGAACCAAGGACAGATACTAAAACAGCTGGTCCAATCTGGAAATACAGCAGCTATTTGGCTTTTTTGCTTTTCTGAAGCTTTAACTTTATGAACATCCTTACATATATCTTTTTGTAGATGTCTGTGATTATTTCCCTAGAGGTACTAATGAAACATACATGCACACACATGACACATTTGTAAAGATATAAACAGAAGACTGTTTCCTTTGTAGCATTCATCCCCTTTGTAATTCTCTTCTTCAGTAGGCTGTAAGCTTCAGTGGATACAAGCAATCATGTTCTCTGCTGGATCCCTAGCACTAAATGCATTGTTTGACACATGAATTAATGAACTCAGTGGTTCTCTAAAAGATTAGCATTTCATGCCTGTGGTTTTGATAGCAGAAGCAACAGCAGGAATTCTAGTGAATTGGTATAGGAATAGAAATTGATTGTATGTATATATTATTTAGGCCAGAGACCACCCACAATTTCTCTTTTTATATTTGAATTCCTAGTTATTTTAATATTTAAACAAGGGCTAAGATATAATAAAGTATTAAAGTTAAGAAAACAAAGCTTGGAGAAGCATTGAAATTTTAGTTTCTTACTAGTCTTTTCAACTGTAACATACTTTACTGTAAGTTCTATTGTTCTTCCATGTAACAGCCTTGCCCTTCTCTTTTCCTCCAAGCTTAGAGTCTTCTAATGTAACCATGGTGTTACTTATGAAATTCAAAATTGTGGCATACATACTTCAGTCTTTCCTTCGTTTGCATGCACAGGTGGTGGTCGGTATGTTCCAGGCTCTTCATCCGAATCTTCTAATTTACCGCCTGCAGCAGATCCTTTTACAGGTAGGATGCAGTTTTGATTAATGTATCTACACTGAATGTATATTACATTATATGGCTTATCATTTTGGAGATATCACTAAATAATTGATACTTCCCTTATTTATGTCCAATTTTGGTGGATCTCCTTTTCTTTAACTTCTAATTTTTGCTTTTTCTTAGAGTACTTTTGTGACTTTCCTCATGTCTTTTAAATAGCATATTATTATAGCTCACCATTTTCTCCAGTGGTCCTTCCTGCCAGGAGAGTCATTAAGAGCATAGGTTTTAGAGCCAGACAGACCTTGGTTCAAAATTTGGCTATACCACTTACTTGCTATGACAAGTTGGCAAGTTACTGAACCTGTCTGAGCCTATTTTTTTTATCTGTGAAATTAGATAATAGGGGAGCCCACCAACCAAGACACAGCATGAGTGCTATCACTGGCGAGATGCTACCAATCATGAGTCTCTGAGAGAAGGAGCCATGTGAGTCCCTGATATTGGATGGAGCAGTGCAGTCAAGAAGTCTGCCCAGGCATATTTGCCTTAGTGTGGAAGGAGACAGTTCACCAGCTACCCAGGATTAGTCTTCCTAATCTAAGTTATTAATTGCCTTCATGAAGCCCTGAAAGTGTTGGTGTGTCTCTTCAAAGTGACTATTTACCAAGGTATGCATGCCTCAGCATCAACAATACTGGAAAAAATGGCCAGACTTGGACTTCAATGTAGCTGAAGAAGTCTGTTTTCAGAATACTTTTTGATATATTTTATGATGCTGTTGTTGGATCTTCAGCCAGAGTTCCTGGACAATGTATCAGTTTTGGGAAGAGATTTATAGTGTTTATGGTATTCATTGGTTTTGCCAACATACAGTCCTCTCTAAAGCATAGATTGGACCAACAAACAATCTTGGGTCAGTGTCATGAAGTTGTGAATTGCTCTCATGAACTCTTTCTCCTGTGAATGAATTGGTGGACCAGATACAAATAGCTGTACCCTGTGCATTGATACCTAGCTTATGACAGTAACTAACTGTAAAGCTAAATCTTGTGATGACAAATGCAATTTGAAAAGATAGTGAGGATCTGAAGAGTAGATAAGATGATGACTTTCTCTATCAGTAGATTCAGGCACAATAATGCACTGAAACTTAGAACACCAGAGTTCCTGAATCTCATTGGCAGATCTTTTATGGAACAGAAGGAACATAACAAGCTTCAATAACAACAAAATCAAGAGAACTCCATCATAACCAGAGCATGTCTCACTATTGCACAATGTCAATAACTCAGAAGATGCAGTGATCATGGAGATATGCAAGATAGCATACTAAATGTCCAAGAGAATTACAACATTATAAGGACAACTGAATCAACTATTATAAAAAATAGATAACACCACCTACCAAACTGAAATATTATGAAAATTAAATAATACGTGTAAAGCATTTTAGGAGGAATATATTTAAGCCCTCAATAATATGTTAGCTATATTAGTATTGTTGATGTTGTTTCCCCAGTTTTGCCAATATCACTGGACCAAAAGGTTTGCCTATCTGGCTTACAACTTAAGGTCCATCTTAAGTCTTTATTGCTTTCCTTTTTTATGTGGTTGTCAAACTTCCAGTGTTCATTAGAATCATCTGGGATGCTTGTTTAATTACTTATTTCATGGTCCTTCCCACAGATTTGGTCACATTAGGTTTGTGAGGCAGTTAAAAAATACCATTACCCTGACCCCTCACCCATGGATTCTGATTAAATGGTCTTGGGTGTGGTTTGCTGTTAGGTTTGTGTAAAAGCTCACTATAGGGTTGTAAAGTGAAGTCAGTTTGGAGAACCACTAGGCTAGTATATGTAAGTAGGCCCTGGGAATCTGCATATTGAACAGGTAACTTTCTCTAAACGTCCGAGAACCATATTTAGAAAAGTGTGGGGCTGTACTGTGCTGCATAATGCTTTGGGCAAGTTGTTCAGTCTTCCTGTAATAACTATTGTAATAGTGATATCTAATTAGTATTTAAATGAGTACATGCTTATAAGATGCCTAGCATGCTAGCTAGCATATAGTAAAAACTCAGATCCTGTTATTTTGTGTTCTTTATTATTTTAATTCTACTGTTATTTACATCTGTGTAAATTTTGTTTGTATTTTAGTTTTGCTTGCTTGTTCTTCATCTATTACACTGGTTATACCAATTCCTAGATGTTAAATTCTGGGGCTAAAACGATAGTTCATCTTTCTTCCTACAAAGGCCTAGTCTAGGACTCCAAACTTCTCCAGATTCTGCTGTTTCTCTCTATACTTGTTGTTCATATTCCTTTCTTTCAATTTTCAATGAGACAGCCACAAGTATAATTTAAAATGTGAGACTGAGCTATTGTCACAGCATCCATAACTCTCACCTGGTCTCTTTTCTCATTGTAGTTAGATAGTCCTATTTCTCTATTTCAATAGAATAGTTTACACATTTCATTATGGAAACCTTTTAATTTCTTTCTCCAATTCACTGTTTTCATAATTCATTTAACTTCTATAACTATAATGTGTAAGGCATCTAATGTTTTATAACTTGAGGATTACTTTCCTAGTTAACACTTAATGGACACTAATTGCATGCCAGGTACTATTCTAAGCATTTTTCTGTATTAAACTTACAGTCCATTTATTACATATAAAGATACTATTTCAAAGTATGACTAATCATGAATATACATTATTGGATGTAAAGAGGGGTGGTTTGAACTTTATAATTTGTAGTTACCTTTGCTCACTCAGAGTATTGAATTTTAGGTGGAGGTCGTTACGTGCCAGGGTCTGCAGGTGTGGGAACTTCCGTGGCTGGAGCTGATCCATTTACAGGTATACACTTTTCATTTCTTTCTTTCGTTTTTTTAGATTTTTAAAATTTATTGCAATGTTTATATTTAAAGAGATTAAGAAAATTGGTGTAATTTTAATTGTTGGAGGACTTTTTATATAGTAAATCAAGACCAAACTTCTTGGCTTAGCTTTTAGAGTATATTCAGCATTGTCATTGCTGCACATGAGAATCACCTGAGGAGTTTTAACAAGGTACTTCAACCTTATCCCGAGAGATGCTCACTTGGTCTAATACTGCTCTGGGTTGGTGTCCTCATCATTTTCCAATGTATATTCTAATGTAGAGACAGGATTGAAAACTGCTGTTATACTTTTGTTCTGTTGTGCTTTATTTCCTCAGTACCCTTACCAAATCAGTTTATTTCAGTCTCTCTATTCGTTCTTAATGTGTTAAAAATGTTATTCATTACATGGTTATCTTTGGGGACTCTGAAAAGAACTTGCTTTTATAATTTAGGCCTAGAATATTTGGCCTTCTGGGCAACTAATTTTTTTTCTATCCTTTGTACCTAGCTTAGAGTCTGCCACATCTTACTTCATCACTGTTGAATATATGCAGGCCTGCTTTCCGCTATATTGGATGCCAATAAAATGCAGGACTAAGTTTGCAGTTTACCTCTTGCAAGTTTAACAGATACCTTGGCATATATTTTCCCCTACTTATTATTTTATATATAAGAGAATATATATGCCATGTTATTAAGCATAATAAAATAAATACCCATAAATTCTACTTAATAACTAACTTGGTGTGTGATTTTGTAAGCTATTTTTTTTTCATTGTGAAAGTACCATTGGCTGGCAGTATTGAACATAGTAATTAAGATTAAGGACTCTGGGGTGAGGAATACTTAGATTCAGATCTCAGTTCAATTGCTTTTTATTCTGTTTGACCTTGAGAAAGTCACTGTTTCTACATCTCTGCTTTTCTCATTTATAAACTTGAGATAATATCCCTTAGAGTTGTTTAAAGCTTAAAATTACAAAATATATGTAAATCACTTTATACAGAATAAGTGCTTAGTAGTTGTTAGCTGAATGTGTTGTATTTACAAGAGTTGTAACATTGCTTCCTCCCATTTACAGAAGTCTTTGATAGTCTTTAATAGTTTGGTGTTTATACTGGAACTATATTTACCTTAGTCCAAGCTATTGTTATCTTTCACCTACACCAACAAAATAATAGTCTCCAAATTGAACTCTCCATGGTTCATGGTTCTGCAGTTAACAATCTTATAAAGTCTAACTTGTTTGTGCTCTTTCCTTGATTTAAAATCCTTATAAGGCTTCCCTTTGAGTATTTCCTCATGCCATGTATTCATTCTTCTCTGCCTTTTCTCTGCCTGGCCATCCTGGCCTGTGTCAGGTCTGTGAACATGCCATGTTCTTTTCTACCTCAGGAGTTTTGTAATACTAGGATTCTTTGTTTTTCAGACCATGGATTATTTTTTAGTTTTTTTTCCTTCTTCTTTTTTATTCAATTTTACAATATAGTATTTATTAAATGAACTCAGTGAAACTTTTCTGGACATTTCACATGGATCACCTACTCTCTGATAAGCTTTCATTGCACCCTATACTTTTCTTTTTTTTAAATATATATTTTATCGATTATGTTATTACAGTTGTCCCATTTTCCCCCTTCACTCCCCTCTACCCTGCCTGCCCTCCCACCCACATTCCTGCCCCTTTAGTTCATGTCCATATGTCATACTTATAAGTTCTTTAGTTTCTACATTTCCCATACTATTCTTACCCTCCCCTATCTACCTACCATCTATGCTACTTATTCCCCGTACCTTCCCCCTCCACCACTCTCCTGTTGCTAACCCTCCATGTAATCTCCATTTCTGTGGTTCTGGTCCTGTTCTAGTTGTTTGCTTAGTTTGTTTTTGTTTTTGTTTTAGGTTCCATTGTTAATAACTGTGAGATTGTTGTCATTTTACTGTACATATTTTTTATCTTCTTTTTCTTAGATAAGTCCCTTTAACATTTCATAAAATAAGGGCTTGGTGATGATGAACTCCTTTAACTTGACCTTATCTGGGAAGCACTTTCTCTGCCCTTCCATTCTAAATGAAAGCTTTGCTGGATAGAGCAATCTTGGGTGGAGGTCCTTGCCTTTCATGACTTGGAATACTTCTTTTTAGCCCCTTCTTGCCTGTAAGGTCTCCTCCACTGAGAAATCAGCTGACAGTGTTATGGGAGCTCCTTTGTAGGTAACTGTCTCCTTTTGTCCTGCTGCTTTTAAGATTCTCTCCTTCTCTTTAATATTGGCTAATGTAATTATGATGTGCTTTGGTGTGTTCCTCCGTGGGTCCAAGTTCTCTGGGACTCTGAGATTCCTGGACTTCCTGGAAGTCTATTTCCTTTGCCAGAATGGGGAATTTCTCCTTTATTATTTGTTCAAATAGCTTTTCCACTTGTTGCCCTTCCTCTTCTCCTTCTGGTACCCCTATAATTCAGATGTTGGAATGTTTAAAGATGTCCTGGAGGTTCCCAAGCCTCTCCTCATTTTTTTGAATTCTTGTTTCTTCATTCTTTTCTGATTGGATGTTTCTTTCTTCCTTCTGGTCCACTCCATTGATCTGAGTCCCAGTTTCCTTCCCATCACTATTGGGTCCCTGTGCATTTTCCTTTATTTCACTTAGCATAGCCTTCATTTGTTCATCTAATTTGCAACCAAATTCAACCAATTCTGTGAGCATCCTTATCACCAGTGCTTTGAATTGTGCATCTGATAGGTTAGCTATCTGTTCATTGCTTGGTTGTATTTGTTCTGAAGCTTTGATCTGTTCTTTCATTGGAGTCTTTTTGTCTCAGTGTGCCTGTTATGTAGTGAGGGATGGAGGGGTGGAGCCTTAGGTGTTCTCTAGGGCAGGGCAACCCAGTTGCTGAGTTGTGACATTTTATGTGGCGGAGGTGTTCGAGAGGAACACTGGTGCTTGGTCTGCTCTCTGCCGGATTTCAGTCACTTCCTCCACTTCCCCCAAACAAACTGGGACCTTCTGGTACTGATTCCCATGTGGGTGAGCTTCTAGGACCCTGTAGGTCTCCAACAAACACTCCTGTGAGGCTGGAAGTTTCTTCTGCTGCCTCAGTTCCCACAGGTGTTTTCAATTGGTGTTTTGAGACTTTATTTCCCTGCACTGGGACCCTGGGTTGTGTGGTATGTCTCACTCCCCAGTTTCACCTGGTTTATCTGCGTCCAAATGTGGGACTGCCTGGTCTACCAGCCACCTTGTGTGCCATGCCCCTCCTCAATTCACTGCCTCACTGGGTCTGCCTGCTGCTGCCTTGCACACCCGGGGTCCACCAGCCACCGCTTTGCTGCTACCCCTTTCCACCCTCTGCCCGTCTTCGCCCCTCCTACCGGTCTGCATGAATGTGTCTTCTTTAAACTCCTTGGTCATTGGATTTCCATCCAGTTCAAATTTCTGTGGGTAGTGGTTGTTTTTTGTTTCTAAATTGTTCTTATTTTGGTTGTGCGAGGAGGCACAATGTGTCTACCTATGCCTCCATCTTGACCGGAAATGCTATACTTTTCTTCAGAGAATTTTGTATCACACTTATCTGGGTCATATTTAATTTGCATTCCCCTTACCATAGTTAGAATCTGGTAACTAGAAGTACCGGCAATGTCTGTTCGTATAACTCACCTTTGACTATGTCATTAAATATTCTATGCTACATAAGCAGTTAGAATTAATTTTGTATGTTTAGCTCATTACTTGTTTTAACTACCTTGCCTCCTTGTATTTGTAATATACCCAAAAGATTAAAATATTTTATTCATTATCAAAATGCCTTAATTTTTCATTGGAATAAAAATGTACAAAATAAGATTTGAAATGTAAGTAGGATATAAATTAGGAAAAAAATATGCTTTAGCTGAAGTAGTTTTTTTTTTTAAAGATTACATTTATTTTTAAAGAGAGGGGAAGGGAAGGAGAAAGAGGGAGAGAAACATCAATGTGTGATTGCCTCTTGTGCATCCCCCACTGGGGACATGGCCTGTGACCCAGGCATGTGCCTTAACTGGGAATCAAACCAGCGACCCTTTGGTTTGCGGGCTGGTGCTCGATCCACTGAGCCATACCAGCCAGGCTAGGTGAAGTAGTTTTATTCACTGTAAATGAATTTTCATCCTCATTTTTTTATCATCAGATACTGAGTTTCAGTTATTATAGCATGTACTTAAGTGAAATAATACAAAAGACTAAAACTCTTGGCTTTCAAGAACTTAAAACTTGAGATGATTTATAAAAATAATGTAGAAAATGACACTGCCTACTACATCATTTGGAATAAGCAATAAAAGACAAGAGAAGAAAGAAATTAAGAGTAGATGGGAACATTTATTAATTGTTTTGTATTCTTTAATCTTAAAAGTTTATAAAAGATAGAAGTAGAAAATATGAAACAGAAAAGCTTTGTTTTACATTTAAGTTCCCATTCTAAAAAACTAAAATTTATTATAGCAAATATAAAGAGTATATCAAAATCTTACATATGATTTTTCCTCTTCTTTTTTGAAGTTGCTTATTATTGCATGCACTGAGTAGTTACATATTTTAATTGTGAAAATAAAGTCATACAATTAGAAAAGTCTCATTTTGGACCACTTCTTATGATCTGCAACATCTTCTGCTTTGTAAATAGGGAATAGTGCCTACCAATCAGCTGCATCTAAAACAGTGAATATTTACTTCCCTAAAAAAGAGGCTGTCACTTTTGACCAAGCAAACCCTACACAAATAATAGGTAAGTATATTTTAAATACTTCTGTCATATATCCAGACTCTTTACTATGCACTCAACACCGTTTCTTCTCCTAACACGAGCTACAAACTGGATGCTTCCATGATGGAGACTTCTGTTGTGGTATTACACAAATGTGTGGACTATGAATGCACAATCTAATAATGGACCCTTAATACTTTGTAAGAATCCTTATGCAAATATAAGGTAAATGCTTTATGATGATTTTAATGAGAATACTGAAGGGGGAAAATGTAAATCCCATCCCCTAAGCTCTTAATGTTTTTTTTTTTTTGGTTAAGAATGAGTATAGCATTTAAAAAATAAAAATCTTAGTTTTAAAAAATTAATAGCCCTTAAAGTAATAATAAGAGGCTGTTTAAATTTCCCATTAGAAATGAAACTTCTCAGTTGACTTTGAGGATTTTTGCTAATTTGTTTTTCTCAAAACAAAATGATTGGTTTTGGGGATATTTTTGGACCAAGAGTACTACAAGTTCTATTGGCTAAAGACCATGAGAAAATTATTTGAGATAACATACATAACTAAAGGTAAGACTGGGATTTTTTTGTGTGTGTGTGAAAATTATCCTTCATACTATCTTTATAAAAATCATAAGTGTTTTCTTAATTGTTTTATTTTGAACAGTAAAGAAGTATATGTATACTTATGGACAACCAGCCATTTTTCAACTCATGTACAATACATACAAGAGGTCCCTTTTTGCATTTCTTAAATAAACTTTGTTTTCTATATTCTGGTAGTGTTAAAATTTTTCAATCCCAAAAATAGTAAAACAGGTCCAAGTGTCCAATTATGGTGGATGAAAAATTGTAAATTTGGATAATTTATGTTCCTAATACTTTTATAGTGGCAATTTGGGCTTTTTTATGTTTTGAGATAAAAAATTTTTGTGCAAACAGTGTTAGATGAGTCAAAGTAGCGTTAGTGGTGACAAGGATGCCTATATTGAAGATGTATGTGTAGAGTTTAAAAAAATTGTTTCATGAAATATGGATATGATCGGAAAAGGCAATTACTTCCATTAAATATGTTTAAAATAATGCAATGTCAAAGGTACATATGGAACTAAGTCAATAAATCATTATAAATAAGCATTTAAGTTTTCAAATGTTTTATTGACCATCATAGAAATCAATATACCGGGTAAGCTGGTTAAGAGTTATAAATTTTCTCCTTGAGAAAATAGGGGATTGACTTATATGTGCCTATATATGGCATGATACTGCTTTGAAAACCATTCAAAATGATTACAAAAATGATATACTCTAAAATGAATTCAAAGCAGAAAGCTTCAGAAGATACTAGAAAATAAAAATCATCACAATAACTTTTCAGCTTAAAAATACAGACCTTATCCTTAAATTATGGTCTTCAATAATTACCCTGAGAAGTCTTAATTTCCCTATAGTGTATGCTAGAGTACTTATTGAAAGTTTTGGCATTTATGTATTTTATCTGGCTGATGACAGAGACTTTTGAAGGTTTGTTTGGTTTTGGGTTTTAGGTAAACTAAAGGAACTTAATGGAACTGCCCCTGAAGAGAAGAAGTTAACTGAAGATGACCTGATAATTCTTGAGAAGATACTATCTCTAATATGTAACAGTTCTTCGGAAAAACCCACAGCCCAGCAACTTCAGATTTTGTGGAAAGCTATTAAGTGGCCTGAAGGTACAGAAACATTCTTTAAAATATAACTAGAAAGCAAGAATTACGTCTTTTCATGTCTGTCAATATTATTGGTGTTTCTAGATTAAATAAAAGCTAACCTGAAGTAGTTGTAGTTCACATTATAAAAAATCTCACAAAAAGGATGCACTACACCACTATAATTCATAGTCTTATTTTGCTCCCATGTGTTGTCAGAATCTGAAGGTAATGTGGAGACCCCAATACATATACCAGTTTGTATTCCCTTTCAGAGCATTTGTGGATCCCCTGCAAGCCACCCAAGAAACTCTTTGTGACCTGTTAACCCAAGACTACAAACATTTGCTATAAGAATTTTTACTTTAATTTTTCTCTTTCTCTTTTTTAAGTAAATACATTTAATTTTTCTTTTTTAAAATTTTAAAAATGTTATTTCTTATTGAGGTAACATCAGTTGTTATAACATTATATAAGGTTCAGGTGTACAACGTCACAATTCAATATGTGTATATGCTGTAGTGTGCTCACCACCCGACATCTAGTTTCCATTCATTACTATATATTTAATTTTTAATTCTAAAAATGTCCTCTCCCCTGTTATTTTTCTGTGCTGTTGAAATATTGGAGAAAAAAATTATTAGTCCAAAATGTCCCATATTGTGGATTTGGCTGATCACTTAATTTAATTGAATGTGTTGTTCTATTTATGTAGTCCTTGCTATACATAATTAGATTCTGGATCATTGTTTTTTTTAAGATGAAGATCCTTTATAAATGATACTGCAAACTACCTTTATATCACAAGGCACATAATTTCCAGTTTCCATACTTTCAGTGATAACTTAAGATTGTTTAGGGAGTGCATTTCATCAGATGATGTCTATGCAGTCCCTTGAATATAAAGCTCTCCACCAATCTATGAGCATCCTATTAACATTTGTCAACTGGAATTCCTCTATAAAAAATGTTCATGTTCTCTCTGCAACTCTTTGGTCTTGTTATACGATTTTTAAAAGCAAGGTTGCAATCCCATTCATTCCATAAGAATTAATTGAAAATTCACTGTGTTTCATCTGATTGATAACCCAAGAGAGTTACATTACTATTAAAGCATATATGATCTTATAACAGCAAGTCCAATCTTTATAAATATGAAAAATCAACAGTTTTAGAAATACATGCATTTTAAAGCAGGCACATGATTTTTAACATTTTCTGAAATAAGCATGTATTAATTTTGTAAAAGGAAGTAAAATCCTTAAAAATGGAAAAGTCGTTGGAATTTTCTGAATTTCCATAATTATTAATGAATTTTTCTTCTTTATAGATATCGTCTTTCCTGCGCTTGACATTCTTCGATTGTCAATTAAGCATCCCAGTGTGAATGAGAGCTTCTGCAATGAAAAGGAAGGGGCTCAGTTCAGCAGTCATCTTATCAGTCTTCTGAACCCTAAAGGAAAGCCAGCAAACCAGCTCCTTGCTCTGAGGACTTTTTGCAATTGTTTTGTTGGCCAGGCAGGCCAAAAGCTCATGATGTCCCAAAGAGAATCATTAATGTCCCATGCAATAGAACTGAAATCAGGGAGCAATAAGAACATCCACATTGCTCTGGCTACCTTGACCCTGAACTATTCTGTTTGTTTTCATAAAGACCATAACATTGAAGGGAAAGCTCAATGCTTGTCAGTAATTAGCACAGTCTTCGAAGTTGTACAAGACCTAGAAGCCATTTTTAGACTTCTTGTGGCTCTTGGAACACTGATCAGTGATGATTCAAATGCTCTACAATTAGCCAAGTCTTTAGGCGTTGATTCTCAAATTAAAAAGTATGCCTCAGTATCAGAACCAGCTAAAGTAAGTGAATGCTGTAGACTTATCCTAAATATGCTGTAACAGTGGGGCAGGGGCTGAGTTTTTAAATTGATTAGTGTTTTTTTTTCCCCTCACATTTTACATGACTGATAACAGATCATTTTTAAAAAATGATGTGGATTAAGTAAAATTTCAGATCTTGTAATGTGGGGTGGGGGGACAAAGGAGAAATAAAATTTTTACACTGATGAACTGTGAGATTTTCCTGTATAATATGGGTAGATTTTCAAGATTTAGAAACAAATTAAGAATGAGTTATAATCAATAACACAACTGCAGTGGCATAATTTCCCTACTTTGGCCACACAAGAGAAGACAAGTGCTTTTATTTATGTAATGTTTTTACTACTGAAATACCCCTAGTTATTAATTGTTGATAGTTGTCTTTTATTGAATTTCTGCTCTACTCATTTTCATTGCTGGGTTCTTTCAACAACACTGATACAGGGTCTTGTTTTAGAATGTTTTAAAGATTAAGTTTATTGTGAATAATTCCATATATTGAAAAGATATTAAATAGATTATTAATTTATTTGTAAATAGAAAGTGAATTTGTTTGATGGCTCATTTTTAGATAAAGTAAAAGCAAATTACTAAGCTATGCTAGGTTCGTTATCAGTTCAGACAGATGGGACGCCAAGTTAACTCGAGGCTTATGATACAGTTTCTTTTGTCCTTCACTATTTGAGGCAATTTCATTATTCATTCCAGTTTTAAAAATTTCATTGTTTATTTTTGGTCATTTCCATGATTTTAAAGGGAATTTGGGATGCACTGAATTTCAGGCAATTGTGCAAGCAAGAGTACATCAAACTATGTTATTTGCCAATCCAGAGCCCGTCCAATGAAATAAGTATTTTTTGAGCCCCTAACATGGTCTAGGTGTTGTGTTAACCATAATGATGTTTAATTCCTAAACCCTTTAAATGAATTGTGATGCTATCTCTTTATTTTCAGAAGTAAAGATGATGGGATGAATCACTATAGGAGAGAAAAAGAAAAGTGCATACATGCTGTACTTCCTAGAGAAGGGGGGGTCACAAATTTGTGAACATCCTAGGAACACAAAAAAGGAACCCTATTAATTACATAATATATTGTGTCTGAGAGAACTTGTTAAGTGTTAACTTTCTATTTTAAAAAGTGGGAAAGATCTTTTCATAAAGAGGACTTTGCATAAAACAATAAGCAATATTCTCATTTTTGTTATATAAAACCATGAATTTCCTGGCTTTAATGCCAAATTGTAGTCAAAGAACAATTCCCCAATAGGGGAGGAAAATATTCTTATTGTCTATATTAATCCAAGGAAAAACTTGGAATGTCATAAAAGAATGGGTAAAATATAGATAGAGAGGACATGTTTTTTGCTAAGTACTAAATTGCAACTTTCTGGTGTATATCCAGACTCAGAGATTCTATTTGCTGATTCCATTATGAACCTACCTGTGTTTTACTATTGTTGATTTGAAATTTAGGGGTTTAAGTCAAAGTTAAATTGCAAAGTTAAGAGTTTAGCCCAGGTCAGCCTGGTTCTACTACATTACAATGCTTGTTTGCTTTTTTTCTTTTTTGTTAAGATTTTATTTATTTTTAGACAGAAGGGAAGGGAGGAAGGGAGGGAGAGAAACATCAATGTGTGGTTGTTTCTCACATGCTCTGTACTGGGGACCTGGCTTGCAACCCAGGCATGTGCCCTGACTGGGAATTGAACTAGCGACCCTTTGGTTCACAGGCTGGCACTTAATCCACTGAGCCACACCAGCCAGGGCACAATGCTTTCTTATTAGCATGTTACAAACAATTTATCTACAATACTTTGAAATACTAGTTACCTTTGCACATAAGTCTTGGTTAAGAACATGCATTCACTTTTCAAAATATAAAAGGTGACATATTATAAACACTGTTTGCTTCCTATTAGTATATAAATCTTTATAAAAACTTTTATTATACCAGTATTTCATGTTTATTGAAAAGATATAGTTTAGCAAGCAAAAAAAAAATCCCACTTGAAAGATAAGTGTTAAATGGTGGTTTAGTAACATTTTAAATATTTTTTCTTTTTCAATTAAAGGTTTTTTATGATTTTCATAATTATTTTCCTGAATATAAAAGTACATATTTGTTGAATAAAGACACACACCAATAGAAACTGCCTGTAATCACACTACCCAGAGAGAATCATTTTAATGAATAGGTATGTAAACATGGGATTTTTTTTAAAGGAATGATATACATTGTTAAATGACCTGATTTTTAAACTTGACATATATTAGTATACTTCCATCAACCTTAATAAATATACAAGTGTACCCATTTCCTATTATCTGATATTGTTTCCAGTGTTTTTGCCAAATTGATGATCAAGTTTTCTTTAATGTTTAAAATTAGAGTGATTTTTTCTGGGGGTACTAAAAAAGGTAGGACCTTGACTTTGAAGGCAACAAGTAAACCATTTTGATGCCTCCTGTGGAGGAAAATAGTTTTCAGAATATAGTGAGTAATGGAAACTTTAAAGAGAAGAAAGCTGACAACTACCTTTCTATAGAATACATAGGCTGATAGTCCTAGACCAAAGTTGAGGTTTTGGGACTTAAAACTTGACCTTGCGGTTCCTGAACACATTGTAATAAATAATAAGTAAAATGTCTAATGGCAATGATATTTTTTATCAAATTTAAAGTCATAATATAGTAATGTTCAAATAATGTTTTGGAACTGGATTTATTTTTATCTTTTAAAGATTTTATTTATTTACTTTTAGAGAGGGGAAGGGAGGGAGAAAGAGAACGTGTGGTTGCCTCTCACATGGCCGCCACTGGGGACCTGGCCTGCAACCCAGGCATGTGCGCTGACTGGGAACTGAACCAGTGACCCTTTGCTTTGCAGCCTGAGCCCAGTCCACTGAGCTACACCAGCCAGGGCTGGAACTGGATTTAAAGAAAATCATTTAAGTATCATGGTAAAGAGCAGATAATTTACATAAATAGGTCACATGTATTAAACAATTACTTTATACTCATCTTAAGTTTATCCTCATTATCCCTATGCTATAAAGACTATTAGTAAATCTTACTTTTACAGGTGAGGAAACTGAAATAAGTCAGGTAAATCTTTATATAAGTAGCAGTGGTAAGAAAGCAATGGAGAAGAGAATGATATTTGATAAATGACGTTGCTAAAATTGGGTATTAATATGGAGAGAAATAACAACTTGTGGTAGCCACTTCAACTTTACTGGTAGAGCCACGTAAGCTGTATACATACATAGAGCAAAAAGTGGCTTTAAGTAATCCTCTAAAGCACTTTTTTTTTTTAATTCCTTTGTCTCCGGAGGAACTAATAATTCAAGAAATGTTCACTTATTTTTACGCCATTAAAAATTTTCAATAGTGAAAACTGCCAGAGATGCAATGTAATACAGTGAAAGAGTACTGACTTTGATGTGAAAACACATACATTTCAATGACATTTCCACCACTTGCTAATGAATTAAGGCAAGTAAGTTCCTTAACCTCAGCCCCATTTTAATCACAGATATAATTAGAACTTTAAAAAATAGAACAAAATAAGATATTTATATAACAGTCCTAGCAAAATGCTACATAGTGTTCCTTTCAAACACATCTACCATCTTCATTAACAAAGTGATGTATGCAAAAAACATTCAAAAGATAAAAAGGATAAGAACACTAATAGGGCAACAATATTTTACCCCTATTCCCTTCCTATCTCACCAACATAATTACTGTATAATTACAAAGTCAACACACTGATTTCAGTAAATTGTTAAACTTAATACCAGATGATTTGATGAGGAGGAAATAGTGTTTCAACCAATGGGGAAGTATTCACTGCAAATCAAAAAATCAAGTTAAAAATTAGTATCTTCATACATTACCACAAATCTGTAACAAGATTCAACTGTATGGGTGATAATTTAGTTCAGTCTTCTAAGGAATCGACTAAATAGAACAAGAAAAATAAGATGTTGATATACTTTTATAAATTTCTTTTGGATAATACAAGATACCATGAGGAAATGCAGTTTTTTTCTTACTCTGCTTATAGCTTCATTATTCTGAAACATGATAGAATGTGAAGAACCTAAACACCAGAATTTGAAAATTATTTAAATTGAGAAAAGATTATGAAATAGGCCTAGCGCCAAGTGCCTTTAGAAGTGAAAAGGAATTATGCTTACAAGTTAGTGTTAATGGGGAAAACAACGAAACGCAAGTCTTGTACAATGCCCTAAAATAGCATTTTGTAAAAATGTGCCCAGGTGATATTTTCTCTAAACTCTGTTGCAGTGCTATTTGTGTCATGAAAATTGGAAGTAAAATGAAGTACGAAAATCAAAAACCACACCTTTACCTGTGCATTTGTATACTGACAAAGATTACAAAGTAGTATCAGTAAGGCAAAAACCTGTTGTACAGGACACATTCCGGCCTTCCTACGGGTAAAAAAAAAAAAACAACTGACTAAGCACCTAGCCAACCCTAAAGCAAATAGATGCACCTCCGCGACTCGTGGAGGCGGTGTCGGCCCCACCTACAGAAACGACTCACGACGTCTGCGACGACCTCGGAAGTGACGTAAAACCGCGACGCAAGCCCCCGTGGTGGCTACTCCGCGGCCGGAGGGAGGTTTAGCTCGCTTTGAAGAGGGCGGGCTTTCTGATGGTTACAGCAAAAGGATCATGACGGGAAAGAAATCTTCCCGGGAGAAGCGGCGTAAAAGAAGCGGTCAGGAGGCGGCCGCGTTGCTCGCGGCGCCGGACCTGGGACCCACCCTCGCCAACAGTGGCAGTGGGAGCATCAGTGGCTGCGGGAGCATCGGCGGTTGCGGGAACTTCACCTGCTGTGGGAATATTGGAAGCGTCGCCGGCGTTGGGAGCGGCGTGGAGCGCAGCGAGCGCCGGAAGCGGAGGAGCACCGACTCATCTTCCAGTGTCTCAGGCTCCATGCAACAGGTGTGTGGAAGCCCTTCTCGCTGATCTCCCAGCTGCTGCATTTTCGGTGAAATGTGGGTGACGATCGGCAAGGGCGCCGGCTGTAGTTCACTGTTAGCGTTACCAAACCAAGATTACACGCGTGCTTGAGGTTCGTGTTCCTAGTCCCAGTGAATCTCACACTCTCATGTGTTGAACTTGGAGTACCTACGTTTGCTAGTAGCTAACTCATTTTGCTCTTGACCAGCTCCACTCCTGTGGTCTCCTCAGTTTCTCTTAAAAAGTATGAGTTAGGGGCCCAGCCTTTAATGCACTTGCAAGCCACGGTTTACTTCTCTTCACCTTTACCAGGTATGGTTATTACACATTACAAGATGAGAAAACTGAGAGGTTATGGAAGTTTACTCACAGTCACATTTTGTTACAACGCCTAGGTTTTTATCAAATTATCTGACTATACAAAAGATACGTTCTTCATGTTCCATCAACCTGCAAGATACAGCTGTTTAAAAAAAGTTTTCTTATGTTATAAAACGTGCATAAATACACACTTAAAGTTTTACAGCACAGAAATAAAGGGAAAAGCGTCGACGTTTCTCTCTAAGCCACCCTCCCCATTAATAGTTTGATGTGCATCCTCTTCATTAATTCTTTTCAGATATATATATTTCAGGTATTCTTTTCAGATATGTGTATTTATTGAGACAGTGCCCCCATTGAATTGGATGATGCGGCTGCATCGTTGGGACAAGGGGTCTTTATGCATGCAATACCTTATTTGTTAATGATTGCACAATATTTCATTGTATCTTTATTGATGAATATTTAGGAGTCCAGTTTTCTTGCTGTTGCAGACATGATACAAAAGTGAACATCCTTGTACATTTGTCTTGTGCAAGAATTACTTTAGGTTGGAGTCTCAGGTGAATTTGCTGGGTCAATGTTTATGCATTTTTTAAAGATTTTATTTATTTATTTTTAGAGAGAGGGGAAGGGAGGGAGAAACAGGGAGAGAAACATCAATGTGTGGTTGCCTCTCACGTGGCCCCCACTGGGGACCTGGCCTGCAACCCAGGCATGTGTCCTAGACTGGGAATCGAACTGGTGACCCTTAGGTTCGCAGTCAATCCACTGAGCTACACCAGCCAAGGCTGTTTATGCATTTTTTTAAAAAATTGATAAGTACTACTAAATGCTTCCCCAAAAAGCTTTACTGATTTATAAACCAGAAAATTTATAAGAATACCCATCTGTGCAAATTTTCACTACATACATTTTTAAAAATTTTGTTACCTTAATGGGTGAAATCAATGTTTCATTTGCTTTAATTTATATTTTTCTGATTAATCATGAGATTAATATTTTGATGTTTTTATTTGTCGTCTGATTTTTTTATGTAAATTGGATATACCTATTCCTTGAGATTTTTTGTTTTGTTTTCAACCTTTTACTGATAGGTTACAAATTTCTCTACATAAGGTCTTGGTGCAGATGCTTTGTGTAAGGTGTATTGCAAATGTTTCTATAACTTTGGCCACGATGTACTGAATATTTTGATTTTTGTTGTGATCAAGACATTAATTTCCTATAATTTTTTGATTGTGTGTTTTTCTAAAGGTCTTTTCTAATCGAAATTATAAATCTATTTTGTTTTTTACCATTACACTTTTAAATTGGGAGTTGTGGAAACATAAAAGGCCATTTATTTTTATTTTCTTGTATCTAGCCACAATGTTAGTTTAAAGTTGACTCACAGAAGAAATTCTTCTAACAGTGAGAGTTTTGTCTCTTTTTCAGCACTATACAGGGGTGGCAAAAGTAGGTTTAAGTTATAGTACAAGTAAGTAATATAATTAAGAAGTAATACAAGAATAAACTATGTTTCATGTTTCACAACTTTAAAACTACTTTTGCCCACTTCTGTATTTCTCTTTTTTTGTCTTTTTTGGCATTATGTAGTGTTCAACAAAAGCAGTGATAGCGGACATTCCTTATCCAATTGTTTTTATAGTTGGAACATTTGTAATGTTCTACCGGAGTATATTTGCCATAGGTTTTGAAAGATACCTTTGATCAGGTTAAGGAAATTTTCTTCAATTCCCAGTTCGATGATGGCTGTAGAGTTTTATCAGATGTTTTTATGGCACTCTGTTGAGATGATCGCATAGTTTTCCTCCAGTAATCAGGTAACGTAATTTTATTGATAAATGAACTAATATTGAACTGTCCTTGCAGTCTTGAGATAGACCCTATTTGATCTATTGGTTTGGTTATACTTGGCTGGAATTCAGTATTTTTACTTCTAATCCAATCTATGTTCCTAAATTAAAGCAGCCTTCAGGTTTTATTTTTGTAGTAA